GCAACGATCCTCCTGCCTCAGCCTTGCGAGTGCTGGGATTACAGGCCTGCACCACCACGCCCGGCTGCCACTGCTTCTTATCTTCACACAAATTTACTTTTCTTTTTTGTCTTTTTGAGACAGGGTCTCGCTATGCAGTTCAGTCTGACCTTGAGCTCACTTTGTAGCCCAGGCTGGCCTCGAATTCGCAAGGATCCTCCTGCCTCAGCCTCCCCAGTGCTGGGATTACAGGCGGGCCCCACCACGCCCAGCACAAATTTACATATTTGTAAAATAGTCGTTGTTATGGAAGGGAATGTCTTGCTGCCTTGGTACTTCTTTCCCATTTGTTCAATGTTTGCTGCAGAGCAGGCTGTGTACTAAGCACTTAATACAAATTATCTCCTAGACCTTAAATGAGGGAATTGAGGTTTAAAGAAGTTAGTAAGTGGAAGTTCTTGGATTTCAACTTGAGCTTTAATGCCTTTTTGGGATCTTCACCTTGCTTTGTCCTCTGAATAACTTTTTTCTTATTTATCTTTATTTCTGATCTCTGCCTAAGAAAAGATCCTTGAAACAGTACTTTGTATGAAAGCAACTTTAGTTCTATGTAGCTGTCAGAAGCAAGTGCATAGCTCATTGTGAAAGATTCTGATTGGTTCATCTGTTCATCAGTGATAATTACATATCCCTGCATTCACCATGAACTTGATGTTTTGTCTGGCAGAGGGAAAGATTTTTGTGCTGGAGATTGTACTTAGGGTCTCAAGCACTCTGCCATTGAATTACACTCCCTGCTCCAAGAGTTTTATTTTGAAAACTTTTTGTCTTTGGAATATGGTAGAAAAATAGGGAGAATATGGTTTTAGGAATCCTTAAATAAGGTGAAATAATTTTAAAATAAGTTTACATGAGATAGTTTAAGAAGAGGCCTGGTGGTACATGCCCGTAATCCTAGCACTCTGGAGGCTGAGGCAGGAGTATCACAAGTGCAAGGCAAGCCTGGACAGCTTAGTGAGACCAGGTCTTAAAAAGAAAATTACAAGAAGACTTGAGGTTTTTTTTTTTTTAATTTTATTTTAAAGAGAAAACCCCTCACCAAGTTTTAAAACAAGATAATAGGAGGGTAGCAATGGGTAATACATTGCTGTCTTTTAAATTAGTTACTCAGAGTACAAGATATCAACATTTAATTGTCCAGACAATATTAGCACAAACCTTTCTTTTCAATGAACTAAGAGAAATTAGTAGTATAGCTATATATATTAGTATAGCAGTGTATATATACATATATTTGTTTTTCCGTTCTTTTCTCCATTGCCCCATCCCAGTTTCTCTTCCTTTTTTTTTTTTTTTTTTTTGTCTTTTTTGAAATGGTTTTGCTATGCAGTTTAGGCTAGCTCTGAGCTCGCTCTGTAGCCCAGGCTGGTCTTGAAGACACAACAATCTTCCTGCCTCAGTCTCCCGAGTGCTAGGATTACAGGTGTACGCTACCACACCTGGCTCTTTTTCCTTTTGAAGACCACTTGAGTTTGAATAAAAATGTGATAGAGATAAATTGCTTCAAATTAGACAATGTACAATAAAAAAGATTCTAGTATAAATTTTGAGCATTGAGATGATGTTATGGTTTGTGTCTGGGTGTCCCCCCAAAGCCTCATGTGGCCATGGGGCAGGCTTTTAGAATTTGATTGATTATGGGTGTGAGAGCTACACCCGCCCTGGGGTGGATAGTTTGCAAATATAAGGGAGAGGAAGAGGCTGCTTGCCACCGTCCCTCCCTTTTGTGCTTGCTACTTTTGCTGTGTTCTGCCGCTGTGAGCTGTAGCCCTCTGCCATGTGCCACTCTGCCTTCTAACCTGCCAAGTATGGACTGAAACCTCCACAAACTGTAAGCAAAATAAACCCTTCCTTCCTTCATTTTGGGTGTAAAGTATTTTGTCCCAGCAATGAGAGAAAAGTAACCGAGACAGATGATAAATTATAACACACAATACTATAAAAATGATAAATTGAATGCAGTCCTTCTGCCTCAGCCTCTAAAGTGCTGGGATTACAGACTGGTGCCACCGTACACTTGTCTCTGTCTATCATACTTTGAATACGTACAATCTTGTTATTTTGCAGGCATGAAAACAAGTCTGGGGAGTGAAGTAATTGCCATTTCAATGCAGTTGTCATTTGGACATGCGAGGAGCCACTGTTACTAATAGCGTGGGCTTCTCCCAGTCCTGGCTGTATCCCTCTGGGTTTAGGGTGTGATGACCCCAGTTATCTTGTTTACTCAGCTTGGGACAGCTTCTCTTTCATTTTTACCGGTTGCATACTATAAGATCTACAGGCAGGCCCGGGTTTGACTGCGCACTCCATCGCTTAAGAGTGGTTACTTTCTGCTGGGAATGGTGGAACCTGCCTGTAATCCCAGCACTCTGGGAGGCTGAAGCAGGAGCATTGAAAGTTCAGTCCCAGCCTGGAGAATTGAGCAGTTTAGTGAGGTCCTGTCATAAACTAAAAAACTAAAAAGAGGGCTGGGGATGTAGCTCGATGTGAAGGCCCTGGGTTCAATCTCTGTAGCATACTCGGATACACACACACACACACGGGTTATTGTTGCTTTCTAACACTGTACTTGTTTCCCTTCTGTAAGATGTTGGGAGGACTCAGGGTAATAACCTGTGCCCGGTACCTGGCACACGCCTAGCACCCTGTATACATACAGTTACTGTTCAGCCATCGGTCAACAAAATGATTCATTCAGGAAATCCTCATTGATCACTTGCGTGACTTTGAGGTCCTGGGGACGGAGATGTGGACTTGGGACAGAGAAAACCACTACTTTTCTGGAGCTTATAAGTGAACAATAAATGTGCCAACCTTTAAACCAGATGATTTGTCGGGAGAAATGCTGTGTAGGACAGAAACGGAGATGAGAGAGGAGAAACCGAGGGGGGCCACTGTATTTATCTGCTGTGGGCATCCCATTGCGATGCCCCGGCTGGCCTTGAGGTGTACAGAGGTGGGGGTCCTGCAAGGATGTGGAAGGAACCGGGAGGTCGGGGTGGCTGGAAACAAGAGGGAGGTTGCACTGGAAGTTGAGATAGTTCAGACACCCCCCGCCCCCCAGGTCAGGCGCGTGCTCCACAGTCCTTCTGCCCCCAGAGCCCCCTGTACAGTGCCAGTCCCGGCTTCAGCGCCGCGCTCTCTGGCTCTTCGCCACTCACCTTCCCTGCAGAGGCTGGGCTGAGACAGGCCTTGAGGACTGTACAGATATCCGTGTTCTTGCCGCCTCTAGGAAGCCGTCCAAGGATTGGAAGCAGAAAAACGGACTCTTACAATATATTTTGGGCTGGGGGTGGAGGTGCGTGCCTGCAGTTCCAGCTGCTGGCGAGGCAGAAGCAGGAGGCCTGCAAGTTTGAGGCCCACTTCAAGTTTGAGACTGTCTCAATAAAAATGTAGCTCGGCACTCCCTGGGCTCAGCCTCCAGTGCTGAAAAGTATAAATATAAATATAACCGTGTGTGTGTGTGTGTGTGTGTGTGTGTGTGTGTGTGTGTGTGTTTCTGGCCAGCACAGACCTGCTGAACCCTGGCAGAAGGGGTGTGGGGAGGGGCGGTGGCTTATCGGTGCGGTGGCTTATCGGTGCGGTGGCAGCGAGAGTGGAGAGAGAGAGAGCTTGGGAGGTGAACAGGACCAGACTTAGTAAAGGATGGATGTTGAAACTGTGAGAAACGAAGAACTAAAGGCTGAGTCCTCCTTCCCGTGGTGGCCCAGGAGGAACGGTGGGGGGGGCGTTGTTGGAGGAGCCCGCTGAGGGACAGTGGTCAGCTGGGGACCCTGTGGTAGGACCGGAGGAAGGAGGAGAGACAGGTGTTGAAGAGAGGCAAGGCCCGGCTGTCTCAGGGCTTGAGAAAGCCGTGTGAGGGAAGTGGAGTGGCCCCCTGCGGCAGTGTTGCGCAGCCTCTGAGGTTTGTGGGTTTGAATCTGCAGAGCCAGCCTGCCTGTGTGATTTTTCTCCGGCAGAACTCAGTGTCGAGGGTGCAGGGCAGGAGGGGAACCGTGCCTGGGAGAAGGAAAGGCCTGCCAGGGAGGTGACACACATCCTGAGTCACAAGGGCGAAGTGAGGTCAAGGGAAGCCGAGGATGGGGGGGGGGGATGCTAGGCTCCCGGCTGGGGGCCGCTGGAGTGAGCCACCCCCAGGGCCAGCGGGCAGGTTGTTTCCAGTGCAGCCCGGGAGCTGAGCCCAGGACCGGCTTTGGGCTGCAGAGGGAAAGGTTGGAGGTGAGGAGGACTGGGGACTGACTCTTGGGAGGGAGCTTATCCACCTGGCCGCCGAGATGCTCCGGGAGCATTCGAGGAGGGGACCTGGACCGGGTTGCTCACAGTGCGGGACGGCTGTGGGGGGACAGCACGCAGCAAAGCCTGGGGCCCAGGGTTACCGGGAGCCTCGCAAGGAGGAGAGTGGTTGGGAGGTGGTGTGGGGAAAAGCCTGTGCGTCCCTGAGGAAGCAGGCTGTGAGGAGAGAGGCCTCGGGACAGCCAGGCGTCTGTGGGGATTACAGGCTCCTTACCCAGCAGCCCGCCTCTCCGGAGAGTGGAAGAGGCTGCGCTGGCTCCTGCCTGCCATCCCTCCCTCTCCGCTTCGCTGGGGACTTCCTTCCACGTCCCTCATGCAGACACCTTGAAGAGCTTACTAGATCTGGGACGAAATAAGGTCGAAATAAGCTCTATAGAAATTTCAGGAATATTTAGGAAAAGTTCTGCCCCCAAGCAACATTGGACAGGGCGTGATATCTTTCTGTTGGGCATGTTGTAGGGTGAAGTCATCTTTTAAATTCAGTTTATTTATTTATTATTATTATTATTTTTATTTTTTGAAACAGGCTTTTGCTGTGTGGTTCAGGCTGGCCTTGAACTTACTATTTAGCTCAGGCTGGCTTCAAACTCATTTTTAAAGTTTTTTATTCTTTTAAGATCCTTCATATGAAAGGTTGGGGATCTGTTCGTCAAAAGATACAACATTTCATTTACATAGGAGCAGTAAGTTCAAGAAACTTGTACGACAGGATGACCATAGTTAACAGTGTTATTAAATGTAAAAATTGCTGAATAGATTTTAAGTGTTTTCATCACAATAACGAGTATGTGAAGTGACATTGATATTAGTTTAGCGATTCCAGTGTGTACACATTTTAAAATACATGACATTTATACACTCTGTGTAAATGACTAAGGAAATAGTAACTGACAGGCTACTGTGATTCAGAAATTCTGAAAAACACTTGGTTTTATTGATTGCAACAGCATTGACTGTACCTGAAAAATGTGAGATATTTGTTCAGCTTGCATTTAGAGCACTAAAGAAAATCATCTTTAGAAAGCAGAACGTGTGGGATGACTAGATCTGGCAAGATGTCCTGTGTTCCCAGGGTCCCGGCTCTCAGATGGTTATAGAAGTCACCTCTGATGTGCAGGCTGTGTGTGCAAGGTAATTGTTTGTAATTATTATAATTACAGAGGCCCAAATGTTATAATAACAGTATTCATTTTAATTGGCATTCTGTCAAGAGCATGTTACTGTTTAAAACTGACTCCCAGTGTACTTATTAGGCCTTTCTTATCCTCCATCTTTATAGTTTAAGAAAAAAAGTAGTTTATTTAATTTCCTTTTTTTTTTTTTTTTTAATTTTTTGCACTAGATGGGATTGAACCCAGGGCCTCAGGCATCCTAAGCTAGTGCTTTACTACTGAGCTACATTCCAGCTCTTTTTAAAATTTTTATTTTGAGATGAGGTCTCCCTAGATTGCCAAATTACTGAGGTTGGCTGTGAACCTTTGATCTTTCTGTCTCAGTATCCAGAGTAGCTGGGATTACAGGTAGCACCACCATGCCCAGCTACAAGGTATTTACTTAAACAGAAAAAAAAAAAGTGTTTTACTTAGAAACTAAATCCACAGTTTCTGAAATGCCTCTGTAGTTATTTAGTTATTAATGTAACTTGTACAGCCCTGAGCGATGCCAAAGCAGTGTAGTAGCTGGGCGTGGTGGTGCACACCTGTAATCTCAGCACTCAGGAGGCTGAGGCAGGACGATCTTTGCAAGTTCGAGACCAGCCTGGGCTGCAAAGTGAGCTCAAGGCCAGCCTGAACTGCATAACAATACCCTGTCTCAAAAAGAGGAGAAAAAACAAACAAAGCAGTGTAGTAGCTGGGTGTGGTGGCGCACGCCTGTAATCCCAGCACTCAGGAGGTTGAGGAAGGAGGATCATTGTAAATTTGAGACCAGCCTGGGCTGCAAAGTGAGCTCAAGGCCAGCCTGAACTGCATAGTGAGACCCTGTCTCAAAAAGACAAAAAAAAAAAGCAGTGTAATCCCGATCTGTTGGAACATACTTTTTGAATTCTGTTTTACATGATAAATTATTGAATTTTATGTCCCATACCCTTTCCTGAAGTACTCCTTACTTTTTTTTCTTTTCTTTTCTTTTTTTTTTTTTTTTTTTTTGAGACAGAGTCTTGCTGTGCAGTTCAGGTTGGCCTTGAGCTCACTTTGTAGTTGAGGCTGGTCTTGAACTCACAAGGATCCTCCTGCCTCAGCCTCCCTAGTGCTGGGATTACAGGCGCGCGCTGCCATGCCCGGCTTCATTACATTGTTTGAGGTGGAATGTGTTTAGAGGTATAATTTCTAGACAGTGGTTAAAGTTTTGGGTTGTTCTGTTTTGGTTTCATGTTTAGTTTGGAGGATGGAGGTAAATTTAGTAGCAACACTAATAGCTTTTGTTTTTGTAACTTCCTAGAAAGACAGCGAATTTATATTTATATTTTGTGAGTAGAATGTTATAGTCTTACTCTGTTTATAAATGTAATAACATATTTTTAGCAGAAATTTTTTTTTTTTTTTTTTTTTTTTAGACAAGCTGTTCTATAGCTCAGGCTAGCCTTGGACTTGTGGCAGTTCTCCTGCCTCAGCCACCTAAGTGCTGGGCTTACAGCTGGGCTTACGGAGTGCTGGCTCTCTCAGCCCTTTAGCCCTGTGCCCTGGCCAAAAGGATTGATTTTTAAATGAAATTGCTATAGTCTCCTGATTTGGGGTCAATCCAGATGAGTGGCTAAAATTATAATTATCTTTTCCTTTTTTGCAGTGCTGGGGATTGAACCCAAGGCATCTGCACTGAGCTATGTCACCAGCTCTTCTTATTTTATTTTATTTTTTTGCGACAAGGTCATACCAAGTTGCTAAATTCTGCAGGCTGGAGTCAAATTTGTAATCCTCCTGCCCCAGACCGTTAGCTTTCTGGGACGATAGGTATGTGCCGTCGTGCCTGGTTTAAAATGATTAGCTTAGCACTACTCAGTGTACATTGTTAGCCTTGAACTACCACAGGAGAGAGGCTGTTTCACAGATGACCATCTGTGACCCATAGAGATGCCCTGTCCAGGTCTCCCGGCTCTGGGGCAAAGCATCTGTAATGAGTAGATAATTTTAACCCTCTCAGCTTCTTCCGTTTTCACCGGCTCTGAAAATGATGCCCTCAAAGTAAAGGCTTCAGAAACAGCCTCAGAAACAAAAAGAAGGTCTCTCTCTGACCTTCTCTTGTACCTCATTCTTCCCCATGGCAAAACAGATACTAGAATTTCTCTTCCTCAAGATGAGGCCTAGAAACTGGAACCCCTTTTCCCTGAGAAAGCTAGAAAAACTAAAACTGGCATTCCAGTTTCCCCACCCTTCTGCGTAAGAGCTATGTGGATGTAGTTCTCTGAGCTACCTTGTTTGGTTGTATGCTACCAGCCTGTCGTTCCCCAGAAGGTCCTGCCCCGTATGGAAGGAAGGACTGCCACAGCCAGGGCGAGGGGAGCAGAGAGTCCGTGGGCTCGTCGGCGTGTCTTGTACCGGTGTCCTCTGGGACCGGCATGGTTGGCGGGAAGAGTCCCTTCCCTTTCAAGTGCTTATGTTCCTCTCACCCAGAAGCTGAAGAACGGCCTTTCTGCTGGCTCTCTCAGCCCTTCAGCCCGCTGGTGAATGGAAAGGAGCCCCCGTGAGCCTGTGTGAAAGCAAAGCCTTGTGATTCTCTGTTTTATTCTACTCTATATCGGAGGAGCCTCGTTTGTGGTGCTGAGAATCAAAGTAGGGCCTAGTGCGTGCTAGGCAGATGTTCTGCTGCTGAGCTGTACCTCTAGCTCCTCTCTCTCCTTTTAAAATATGGTGCTGGGGATTGAACCCACGTCCTTCTTACTGAGCTGCATCCCTAGCCCTTTAAAAACATTTTAAGTTTCAAAAAATGTCTCACTGAGTCAATAAGTTGACTAGGCTGGGTTAAACCTTGTGAGCCTTCTGCCTCAGCTTCCCAGAGTGCTGGGATAACAGTTGTGCACCATCATGCTTGGTTTTTTTCTGGTTTTGGCGGGGAGGTACCAGAAATCGAACTCAGGACCTTGCACTTGCCAGGCAGGCGCTGTGCTGCTGAGCTGTATCCCTGGCCCTCTTTGTCTGTTTTAGGTGCTGGCAACTCCCCAGTTTGTCTCCTACCTTGACTTCTTTAGTATGTTAAACAGGTCATTTTAATTTTCTCTCCTAATAAGCAGATCAGTTAGAGGACTTTTCTCGTGCTATGAATATAGCCCCACATTATAAAAAATAGACATAAATGTGTACTACATAACTTTTAGGAAAATATACAGAAGAAAATAACATTATCCACAATTTGAACACTTAGAAAGAACTAGTATGTTCTCTATTTATTTGTAAACTTTATATATAGACCGCTCTTTTCCCTTGCCATTTTCAGTATCATCAAAAAGTATTTTTCTGCCAGCTGTGGTTGGTGGTGCACACCTATAATCACAGCACTTGGGAGGCCAAGGCAGGATTGCTGTAAGTTCTAGGCCAGCCTGAACTCCATGTTGAGACCCTATCTATCTCAAAAAAAAAAGTGTTTTTCTGTGATACTGGGATGGAACCTGGGGTCTCACACATGCTAGGCGAGTGCTTCATCACTGAGCAGCATTCTGGCCCATGAAGAGCTATTGAATTCATGTGATGGTTTTGTTATTCGGCTGATGGGGACATCATAGCCCTGTTGTTTTTGTGTCTGTTTTTTTGAGGCAGGGTCTCACTCTATAGTGCAGGCTGGCCTTGAAATCATTGTGTAGCCAAGGCTGGCCTCGAACTCACAGCAGTCCTTCAGCCTCATCTCCCAGATGCGAGGATTACAGGCCTGCGCCACCACGCCCAGCCGACAGCCCTTTTGTAGGCATCACTTCCTGTAATGCATATGCGGCTGCAGACTCACCTCTGGGATGGTGCGCTTTGGAGCTTGCTTTGTGCTCAGTTCTTGGATGGCAGCTGGTGAAGGTGGCCTTGATCGCGGACTTGCATCACCTCGTCTTTCTTCAGGAGTTGGTGCTCGTGGATTAATTTCTGTGTTGGAGGCATTGAGGACTGGCTGGGTGGTCTTCCTGTAGTGCACTGATGGGCACCTGAGCAGCAGTGTGCGTGCAGTCGGGATGAATCACACCTTGAGCTGCTTTTGTGCAGCCTGGGCCCCTGATGAGCGCGGGCTCGTGCGTGTGCCCTGTCCTGCGGAGACCCCAGCCCAGCCGACTTCGAGCTGCAGGCAGTTTCTTGCTTAATTTGCATTTCTAATAGTATAATGGGTTTGGGGCTTCTTTCTGTTTTATGTTTTGTTTTGTCTTGAGAGAAGAGTCTCACTATGTAGTTTAGGTTGGTCTTGAACTCTCAGTGATCCTCGTGTCTCAGCCTCCCAAGTGCTCCGATGATAGGTATATGCCATCACATCTGGCTGGAACTTTTGTTTGTTAAGTTGGACAGTTCATTTCTTCGAAGTTGTCCTGTCATTTCCTTTGCTCATTGTTCTGTAAGAATTAGTGAAGTTCGTCTCAGTTTACATGAAAATTCTGTTAGTGTGTAAATAATCTTTTGTCAAGGTTCTTACTTGCCTTGGAATAGCAAATAACTGTACAACATAATTATCAGTCCAGTTTTCTGGGGTCACCTAGCTCATGAGATTTTTCCCTCAAGGCCTAATTATTTGCTGGTGGTCATGAATTATTTGCTGACTGGTCATGAATCTAACTAATTCAGGTTTTGTATAATCTATGTTGGATAATTGGGAGTGTCCTTTTTTTTTTGTTTTGCTTAATGTTACAAATCTCTTTCTCTTCGCAGAAAGAGGAAATGATGCGAAGCGCTCCGGGTGCAGATGCGCAGGAAGGTCGCAGGGCCGTGGCCTGGCCTGGTGTGCTCCAGAGGGGACGTCTGCTCACCCGCTTCAGCCACCACCATGTGGTTGTGTTCCTGCTCACCTTCTTCAGGTAGCGCTCCGCGGAAACTGCCTGCTTTGCCATATGTGTGGCGTAGGCTTTGAAGGAAATGCAGCTATTCTTCTGTTGGTCTGTTTGGGTTTGGTTCTGGTGATGGGGGTTAATCCTAGGGCCTCTGCCTGCTGAGCACATGCTCTACCACTGAGTCATACTCCCAGTCGCCCTTGAACTCACAGCCATCCTCCTGCCTCCGCCTTCTGAGTGCTGGGAGTACAGGTGTGTGCCACCACACCCAGCTCAAAATTTTAATTGAATTGTATTTAATTTGTTGCAGTAGAGGGGATTGAATGTCCCTGGCCCTTTTTAAAATTCTTGTATTTCAAGCTGGGTATGGTGGCACATGCCTGTAATCCCAGTACTCGGAAGGCTGAGGCAGGAGGATTGTTGTGAGTTCGAGACCAGCCTGGGCTACAAAGTGAGCCCAAAGCCAGCCTGAGCTGCATAGTGAGACCCTGATTCAAAAAGACCAAAAAAAAAAAAAAAAAATTCTTGTATTTCAAAGCTGGCCATGGTGGCACATGCTTGTAATCCTATTTCAAAAAAATCCAAAGAAAGTGTCTTGAGGCAAGATCTTGATAAATCACTCAGTTGCTCAGGTTGACCTCGGCTTCCCAGCGTGTAAGGGTTACAGCCTTGTGTCACCACCCACAGCTTCCCTTTGCTCTAGTAATCTCCTTTGGCAACACTAGGGGCTGGATCCAGCGCTCTGCACAGGCACATCCTGTGCGTAACCCCTGGCCTGCATGCCCAAGCCTCTGGGACTTTCTTTTATTTATTTGTTTTTTATTTTTCTAGTACGAGGGCCTGAACCCAGTGCTTTCATGCTAAGCTGATTCCGCAGCCCTTTTTTATTTTGAGATAGGGTTTCTAAATTGCCCAGACTGGGCTTGAATTTGGGATCTTCTTGTCTCAGTCTCCAGGAATACTGGGTTTACTGGAATGTGCCATCACACTTGACTGGCTGGCTTTTTCTTCTTCTTTTTCTTTGTCTTTGTCTTTGTCTCTTTCTTTTTCTCTTTCTTTTTCTTTTTCTTTTTCTTTTTCTCTGTCTCTGTCTCTGTTTCTCTCTCTCCCTCTCTCTCTCTCTCTCTCTCTCTCTTGTGTTTTTTTTTTTTTTCTAAATTGTTTAGGCTGGGCACAAATTGGCACCCGTCCTGCCTGAGCCTGTCAGAGTGCTGGGATTACAGCGGTACACCTCCGTAGTTAGCTCCTGTTGGACTTTTTGACAGCTCTGATAATGCAGTTTTCAAGCCATTTTTCCCTCTAGGGAACATGTGACAATATGTGGAGACAGTGTGGTGGTCGTGATGGGAGAGGGCTGCCAGTGGGGGCTTGTGTCAAGACGGGGGTGCTGCTCAACATCCCTGCACGTCCAGGCCCCCGGCCAGGAGCGTTTGGCAGACTCACTAGTGCAGAGTTGAGAGCCTCTAGCTAGTACTGAGTGCTGCGTCTGTGGAAGGGAAGCTTGGGAACAAGGGTGTGCATGTTCAGGGCCTGTGCCCTGTGCCTGCCAAGCAGTGAGTGCGGTGTGTGCCATGGCCGGAGCCCTGGTAACCCCTGGGGTCCGGCAGGTGAGGACCGGGTGTCTCAGTGGTTCTCTAGCAACATCACATAAACTGGGCTGTGGGGTGTTGCGGCGGGTCAGATGTAACTATCACTGTACTGCTTTGCTAGTCTCAAGGTAGATTGATTAATCAAAGGTACGGCAGCAAATGCCTTTTGTCCTTGTTTTCAGGCAGAAACTAGGAAGATGGTTAATTTTAGGAGCTGCTAGGTAATTTTGGATGCTTGATTTGGGGGTATCCATTTTGGGGGCAGGCATCACTGTGAGGAAAAGATAAGGATCCAAGGAAGAGGCTCCGGGTGGCTACAGCAGCAGGTGGCCGTGGCTGCTAAAGACGGCCAGTTCTTTACAGGGCGGGCCGGGGCATAAGGCGGTTTGAAGTCAGTCATATCTGTGGTTTCATAGCGTGCTCTTTTCTTTGTTCCTCTCCCAGTGCTATTTCTTCTCTCTGTTTTGTAGCTATTCATTGCTCCATGCTTCAAGAAAAACATTTAGCAATGTCAAGGTCAGCATCTCCAAGCAGTGGACCCCGAGTGCCTGGAACACATCTACGGAGCTGCCAGCGGAGGTGAGCGGGCAGAGCTCAGGGGGTGTGAGAGGGGCCTGTGCCCCCTGGAATGCTTCTGGAAGTCTCTTTTCCCTCATTCTCCTGCTTAGGACTCTGGAATGTTCTACTGATTTCAAAACCTATGCGTTTAAGCTCTAACCTAACAGCTCCTTTCTCACTGTTTTGAAATCACACAATTCTGGCTAGGCTGTTGTTTTAATTGAGTTTCACACAAACCATGTATATACTTCTGTCTTTGAGATTTCTGTTTTATTATTATTTTTATCATATTGGAGAGTGAACTCAGGGCCTTTGCACTGAGCCATATCCCCAGCTCTTTGTTATTTTTATTTATTTATTTTTTGAGACAGGTTCTCGCGTTGTAGTTCAGGCTGGCCTTAAAATGACTATGTAGTCCAGGCTGGCCTTGAACTCATAGCAGTCCTCCTACCTCAGCCTTGGTGCTGGGGTTATAGGCATGTGCCACCACGCCTGGCTAATTTTTTATTTGGAGACAGGGTGTTGCTAAATCACTAAGGGTGTTGCACACCTGTAATCCCAGCACTGGGGAGGCTGAGGCAGGGGGATCATTGTGAGTTTGAGGCCAGCCTTGGCTACAAAGTGAGCTCAAGGCCAGCCTGAACTGCATAGCGAGATCTTGTCTCAAAAAGACAAAAAAAAAAAAGAAATAAAACATCCCAATAATAATAATAGATATCTACACTTCCATATAAAAATGTAACTGAAGAATTGTGGTAAAGATTGAATGGAATGAATTTGTGTATTGAGCAAAGAAAGGCATGGTAAAGACAGTATCCTTGTCCCAAACTGCACTGAAGACTACCTGGTCAGTAATGAATATGAGGAACCAAGATACATATTCTCTAGCTTCAAGATACAAACAAATAGGGCTGGGGATATAGCTCAGTGCCTGACTGGCAAGCTCGAGGTCGTGAGTTCAATTTCCAGTACCAGAAAAAAAAGAAAGAAAGAAAAAAGAAAAAAAAAGATACAAGCAAATAAAATGGTTAGCGAGTATTTAAATAGTCAAATATTACACCATATATGTCATGTATGTACGTATATATATATTTTATTTTATTTTTTTATTTTATTTTTTTATCTTTTTCTTGAGACAGGGTCTCGCTGTGCAGTTCAGGCTGGCCTTGAGCTCACTTTGTGCTGACCTCGAACTCGCAATGATCCTCCTGCCTCAGCCTCCTGAGTACTAGTATTACAGGCGTGCACCACCACACCCGGCTTAGAATTTAAACTAGATGTGGAGCATAAGGGCCAGATTGCAGCTGGTGGCTAAATGACTATTAACTGACTTGGCAGAAGGGTTCACTGAGTCCCAAAACCTAAAGGTGGAAGTGACCCTGGAGAGGTCACATCACATACCCTAAGCTTATCAGCAGTATTTGGTCATTGTCCAGAGCTAACCACTAGCTTCTGCTTTAGTGCAGCTAGAGAGGAAGTGTGCTCAGCTGTCACTCCTCCGCGTTCCTCCTGTTCCTTCCCTGTAGCTTCATGGCACCGAGCAGTAAGTGTGGCCTTCAGGTGCAGCCCAGCACAGAGAAGGTGGCTTTCATTTAGGCACCTCCACCTCAGGGGCCCTTTGTTTCTTAGGCACCTGGGGTGGGGCCCCAAGACCACCCCCAGGGCTGGTGGCTCAGGAGGAAGAACCACAGGCTCAGCGCTCACCACTGATTTATTACAGCAAAAGACCACAAAGACACCCAGCAAATGGCGTGAAGCTGTGGGAAACCAGGCCCCCGTTTCCACAGGCCTCTCCCAGGGTGTCTTTAGTTTTTCCAGCGCAAACTGTGATAACATGTGGGAAGTGTTGGTACCTGGGAAGCTCGTTAGGATGTTACTGGGGCTAGTGTAGGTCCATGTGTCTGTCTGTACCAAGAGTCCAGGCTCCCATGCATCACACCGTTGGGCACGGGGCTGAGCCCCTGGGCCAGGGAATGGTGGGAACCTCCTTGGATCCAGGTTCCCAGGAGCCATCCTGAGGCTGCTGCGCAGCACGACTATGCATAGGGAGCATCCTGGCCGCTGTGGGACCCTTCTGCAGGAACCGTTCATGTCGTTAGTCTTTGGGGCCGGAGTGCTGAGTTTTCTGCTTAAGAATTGTTGGTTTCTTTATGTGCTCACTCTGATTGCTGCTGAAAGAGGTCTCGCCGTTCTCTCTCTTCAGTACTTCAGGTGATATAGTTTGGGTCGATGGGTGGTGAGAGGTCAAGTCCTGAACTACTCTGTGGAGCTTTGTGTTTCTTCTTTTTCTTTTTCTTTTCCTTCCTTATGGATGACTTATTTCGAGGTAGAGCTTCACAGTGACACATATCAGAGGATGCAGGAGTAGGGCTTGCAGGGAGCACTTGGCCCACTGGAGGACATTACATTTTCCAGGAGAGACCTCACAGTCTCTTCTTGGGTCCTCACGGCTCACCGTGCTGCAGGTGCAGTTGTTACTGTGATGGGTGGTCGTGCAGTTGAACAGGTCACGTTCCACAGGTACAGCGGCTGTATTGTCGCGTTGCATTCCATCCTGGTGGCAGTAACACGCTCACGTTTCTCGGCCACACAGGCAGTGTTCATTGGGTGACTGATTCCATCGTGATCTTGCATGCAGCAGTGGAATTGCCAAGAACCTGCTCTAGGACCACGTGGTAGCACCAGGCTCTGCAGGACATCACACAGATAGTTAGGACCAGGAGGCTGCCCCAACCAGCTTTTGTAACAAGGTCATCGTGGCCTTGAAAGGAACATCCACCAGAACACATAAAAAGGGCCTTGGGTTCACTGAGATGAGGACTCCCTTCAGGCAGCTGTTCCTAGGAGTGCAAGCACAGGTGTTTGGACGATTTTCTCTCTGTTCATAAAAATCTCCACTTCTGAGTGTACTTGATTCAGAGAATCCATGGTGAAATCTCAAGATAAGACACAGCAGGTAGAGCTGAGGTCAGAGTGGTGCCTGCTGCCTTCCATCCCCACGGAATGCTGGGAAACCTCACTCGGGGAGACAGAGTTCTTTTTTTTTTGTTTTGTTTTGTTTTTCTCCGGTACCGGGAACCGAACTCACGACCTTGCGCTTGCCAGGCAGGCGCTTTTGCCGCTGAGCTAAATCCCTAGCCCCCGAGACAGAGTTCTTAACAGACAGGCTGAGCAGGAGCTCCAGATTGTGCTCCTCCGTTACGTCTGCGGGCTGCTGAGCAGGAAACACTTGACTCTCTGCCTTCCTTTCTTCTTTTTCTTTTGCCTTTTTTTCCCCCTACCCTGGGCTTTGCACTGAGCTACCTCCCTTTTCTTTTCCTTTCTCCTCTCCACCCCCCTTCCCTTTTTTTCGGGTACTGGGAATCAAACTCATGACCTCGGGTCCCTTTTCTTTTGAGACAGGGTCTTACTAAGTCACTCACTTGCCCAGGCTGGTCTCAAACCCTGTGGTCTTCCTGCCTCAGCCTCTCCAGTACTGGGATTACAGCTGTGTACCACCACACCTAGGGTTGTGTACTAGAACTTTTCTGAGCTGCTAGTACAGTCATCCCGATTGGGGCTATGTTATTAAAGTATACTTCCTTTTCCATTACCCTATTTTCTGAGTCTTTGTGTTCGTCCTACCTGGTTTTTTCAGTGTTTGGTCTGGTTTAGTAGAATTCAGTATAGTTCTGCAGAATCCTGGCAGGGAAACAGAAAAGTGCTGTTTAAAATCTGTCCGTCCCTATCTGGGCATGGTGGCGCACACCTGTAACCCCAGTACTGGAGGCTGAGGTAGGAAGGTAGCTGTGAGTTCAAGGCCAGCCTGGGCTACATAGTGAGGCCCTGTCTCAAAAAAGCCAAAAACAAAAAAACCTGCAAGGGCTGGAGAAGTAGTAGATTATTATGAATGCCCTGGGTTCAGTCTCCTGTACTAGGGAAAAAATGGAGTGCTATGAAATACGTCTACTCTTGGATTGAGCGGGACATGATTTCCAATTTATTAAATGTTTAAATTCTCCCAAGTGAAGAGGTTATAATCAGAACTTACTTCTTTGAAATGTGTGCTTTCGTACTTACTGCCCATTTCCTCATTTAATTAGCCTACTCATTAGCATTTAAGTGCTTTGATTCATTGATCAGTTGATGGCTTTTTCTTGGCGGACGGAGTGTGTTGCTTGAGAAGAAATGCCTGTGCTCCAGTAAAAGCCAGTCCTTGTGTGACTCGCAGCCTGCCTGCGCACTTGGCTGTGGGCTCCGCCCCTCTGTGCCCTGGCTGTCTCCCTGCAGGGGGCCCGTGCCCCTGGATCCACCGCCATGGGCTCTGGGGCCGGTGGGCATGGGCCCCCGAGTGACCTGCTTTTGTCCTGTTCCTGCAGACCTGGAGCAGTAACCGGTTGTTTCCCAGTACAGAAGAAGCCACACTTTTTCTTGGAACACTGGATACCATTTTCCTGTTCTCCTACGCTGTGGTAAGTTTGAGGATTCTAGAAGTTTGTTTCTTCTCTTCTCCTCTCCCCTCCACTCCCCTCTCCTGTCTTCTCTTGTCTTCTCTTCCTTTCCTCTCCCCTTCCCTTCCCTCCCCTCCCCTTTCCTCTCTTCTCATCTCCTCCCCTGCGCTCTCCTCCCCTGCTGTATCCCTCTCCCTGTTCCTCTCCCATACTGGGAACCAAACTTACAGCCTCATGCTTGCCAGGCAGGCGCTGTGCCACTGAGCTATACCCCTGGCCCCAGAAGTTTCTTTTTAAGTTTATTTTTATTGCTACAAGTTTGCAATACATAATGATTGTATTTTTCTTTTCTTTTTTTAATTTTTTGTCTTTTTGAGACAGGGTTTCACTATGCAGTTCAGGCTGGCCTTGAACTCACTTTGTAGCCCAGGCTAGCCTTGAACTCACAGCAATCCTCCTGCCTCAGCCTCCCCAGTGCTGGGATTATAGGCGTGTGCCACCACGCCCAGCCAATGATAGTATTTTTTGTGGGGAGTTTGTACCTGTACATAACACAGTTCAATTCTTTTTATACCCCTTTCCCTCTTCTTCCCTTCCTCTTGCCTTCCATAGAGTTTTGTTTTGGTTTGGTTTGGTTTTTGGTGGTGCTAGGAAACAAACGCAAGGCCTCATGCTAGGCAAGTATGCTAGGAAGGGCTCTGTCACTGAGCTGCCCTGCCCACTAATTTTTTGTTTTGTTTTGTGTTTTAGTTTTTTGAGATAGGGTGTCACTGTGTACACCAGGCAGGCCTCAAACTCATCTTCCTGCCCCAGCACCCCTAGTGCTGGGATTATAGGCATTTACTGCCATGGCCGGCTGATCAGTTCTTTCTGTTGCGGTGTATATCCTTCTGTAGGGCCAGGGATATAGCTCAGTGGCACAAGCACCTGCCTGGCAAGCGTGAGGTCGTGAGTTCGATTCCCGGTACCAGAAAAAAAAACAAAAGAAAAAGCTGCTTCATATCCTTCTGTAACTTACAGGCAGCTTACCTTTGGAACAGTGCAGATAACCTGATTCCCTTATCTAAAGGCTGGGGGAGGCTTTTTCTGTCCCCTTTGTTATAGGTAGCACAGGGCTGCTTGAGCCCTGTCTGTAGAGGATTGGATCTACTTAAATGTCTGTGCCCAACTGCTGAGAAGGTGAGGAGGGGGAGGAACCATCTGATGAGGAGGATCTTTCTCATCTCGTTCTCCACTACTGAGACAGTCAGTGTATCAGAAGTCTTTGGACCTCCTAGCACTTGGGAGGCTGAGGCAGGAGTATTGCCGTGAGCTTGAGGCCAGCCTGAGTTACACACTGAGTTCAAGATCAGCCTGAGCTATTTAGGGAGCCTCTGCCTCAAAAAACTAAAAAAAGAAAAAGAAAATTTTGTGACCAGAAGCACTTGGTCCCATCTGCACTTAAGTTTGAGTGAGGCTGTTTATTTACTTCCCTGTGTGTCTGTTGTTTTGAGGTGAGGGCACTGATTTGGTAGCTTTGCGGGAGAAACCTAAAACTGTTGCCCTTGAGGTCTGTCGTCTCTGCCAGCCCCACAGCGTCATTTAATTCCTGCCTCGAGGTGGGAGGTGAGTGGAAAGCAGAGGTGTGTGCCTTCTTCTCTGATCATCGCCTTGGTTTCCCTGCGCTCCCTGCCTCGTGGCACCCTGAGACCCGAGAGCCACATCACACGGGCTGAGAGTGTGCCTTGCAAGCGTCCGTCCTGCGTGTAAGGTCGCAGCTGAAAGCGCCGGATACGCAGGGCACATCTAGACTCAGTTGCGATAGGATAGGTCCCGTGGGAAGCCTGGGCTGATGCGGAAGAACTAATCTCCTTCGCAGTAAGCGTATGTTCAGGTGCTTGTTTCTGTCAGCGTGGTTCTTACTCATTTTCAGTTAGGGAGTTGAGTACAATCGCAGTGTGCTCATCGTGGTGTCTGGTGTACAGGCTCAAGTGTAGTGACGGGGTCTTCACAGTTTCCGGGAACCATGGTGCTCCACACAGCCAATCTGGGTGTGTGGATGGGGTTGATGTGAGGTGGCCTCAGCGAGCTCTCTGTGTCATTTGCTTTACAGTGCATGTCACCTCTTTGGCCTGGTGTATGATTTATTTATTTTGTGGATGTTATTGTTTGTTTGTGAGACAGGGTCTCACTGTGTAGTTCAGCAATCTTGACTCACTTTGTAACCCACCCAGACTAGGCTCGATCTCATAGCGATTTTCCTGCCTCAGCCTCCCAAGTGCTGGGATTACAGATGTGTGCCACCGTGCTCGGCTGCCTGGGATACACTTTAGAGCTATAAAGTGGATGATTTCTTTTCAGGGCCTGTTCATCAGTGGCATCGTTGGGGACCGGCTGAATTTGCGATGGGTGCTGTCCTTCGGCATGTGCTCGTCTGCGTTAGTGGTGAGTTGGCAGGATTTTATAATTCTTGTGACCTTAGGGTCCAGGTACCCCACCTTCTCTGTGTGTGGAGCACACAGTGAGATCTGCCCGCGTAGCTTTCACCAGCGGGTCTTTCCAGTGAGATCGCGCGGTGCTCACTGCTGTCCGGGGCGGGCGCAGCCGGCCTGTGCACCCAGGCCTGCCCCTCTGTGTCGCCCTCTGCTCCAGCAGGCCTGAGCTGCTGGCTGAGCCCCTGGCCCCCGCCGTTCCTTCCTTCTCAGGGCTGTGCTCCTGCTGCCCTTCCCACCTGTGTGATGCACTTCCACCTCTCCATGGCTGACTCCGCCTCCTTCGGTGGTTGCCTCTGGGAGGGCGGGCCCTCTGTGCGCTGTCCTGAACTCCCTCTAGGAGCCGCCTGCCGCGCAGCCTGGCCATTTCCCATTCCTCCATGCTTTTCTGGAGAGTGGGCTGCGTGGCGGTGGACACCAGAGCCCCTGGGGCAGGCAGCCAGGTCTCTGCCTGCCAAAGTTTCCTGTCTGCTGATTACCTGGGTCTGGCTTCCTCCCCGCAAAGGGCTGGTGTGTCCTCCCCTCCTGGGTGGCAGCCCCTGTAGGGTGTGTGACAGGCCTGGCACGGTGGGTGCTTTGAGTGGCAGCATCCGTCGCAGGCATCCTTACTGCTTACTGGCTCTGGTGAGGAACATCTGAGACCACAGAGTTTAGTTAAATCCTCATTTATTATTATTCTCAGTGTCTTCCATTAGAGTCTGGGAAAAGATTTCTTTCTTCAGAACTTTAGGGATTGGAGCATTTGGTTATTTGTAAGCTGCACATCTCCACTGTATTTACACACACTGGTTTCAAACACATCTGCATACTTGGCTTTTGTAATATTAAAAATACAAGTGTGCACATAAATTCACCGTTTTGAGTATATATTTCCAAGTTTCCATGGATGTGTGGGGCGCGTCACAACCCCGCCTGTTCCTAGCTTGTGTCCTTCGAGCCTTGCTTACTCCAGATACAGAGAACTGGAATCCGATGGTGTTCCGCACACCACCTGGTAACCTACACCGGGCTTCTCCCCTCGAGCAAATGCCTGGATAAAGGCAGTCCCCGGGGGCAGCCGTGAGTGATCCCACAGGTGAGCACTGATTCACCACCACCCATAAGCCTCGGAGCTGCGGCCACAGCGGCCTCGCCCAGGACTCTTCCCGGCCCGCCCCTGGTGCTGTCCTCAGTGACCCACGTGCGCGGTGCCCTCTGGAGGTCGCTGTCCCTTCTGCCACATGGGAGCAGCATGAGGTGGAAAGTGAGGCCTGAGCTTCTTAGGAAGTGGATGTTGGCCGTGGTGAGTTGTGACAGGGTGGCCGTCTCTCAGGGCTGCCTCTGAGCCCAGGCAGCTCTGAAGCACCAGGTGACGGAGTACGTGCACAGAGCGTCTGTGGGGATGCCACATGTCCCTTTTCTTTCCTCTCTCAAAGGTGTTTGTCTTCGGCACGCTCACAGAATGGCTGCACTTCTACAACAAGTGGTTCTACTGTGGCCTGTGGATCGTGAACGGCCTGCTGCAGTCCACCGGCTGGCCCTGCGTGGTGGCCGTGATGGGCAACTGGTTTGGCAAAGCCGGGTACGCCGCAGCGTCTGCCTCCCTTGTTTGGTGACAGGGACTTTGAAGTTGACTCACTCGGTCTGGCTGTCTGGAAAATCTGTAGTCAGGGAGAGGGGGCTGGAAATGGTGTGGACCTCACCGACGCTCATGCCCAGTAAGACACAGCCCTCGCAGTGGGCTCCGCCAGATTGAGAGAGCTGAGACAGTATGGACAGGACGTCTGCTTGCTTTGCTTTTTTATTTCTGGGGGGTACTTGGGATTGAGCCCAGGGTCTTTGCGCTGAGCTACGTGCCCAATCCTTTTAAATGTTTCTTGAAAATTTATCTTGACTCAGGGCCTCACTAAATTGCTCAGACTGGGTTCAAATTTGTGATCCTTGCTGGGTGTGGTGGTGCACTCAGCGGGTGCTGAGGCAGGAGGATCCCTGAATTCAGCATCCATCGCCTGGACTACTTAGTGGGTCTAGGGCACCCTGAACTACATGGTGAGACCCCCAGCTCCCCAGCTCCCCTTGTTGTGGCGGGAGTGGCCCATCTTGGGCTGGAATAAGAACTGTCCGAGATGCTCCAGTTAGCGCTCAGTATGCAGGTGGTCACCCTGTCTGTGCACCAGAAAAGGCTCTGTCCTGTGACACTGGAGGTTTCTTTTGGAGTAGAGGAGACAGCCTGCTCATGGGCTGTTTTGTTTCATTAAAACTTTTTTGTTTTTGTTTTTTTTCCGGTACCGGGAATTGAACTCACGACCTCGCACTTGCCAGGCAGGCGCTGTGCCACTGAGCTAAATCCCCAGCCCCAAAATTTTTAAGCTTATTGTTTTTTTACTGTGACATTTAAAAATTATACAAAGGGGCTGGGTGTGGTGTCATACCCCTGTAATCTCAGTACCCGAGAGGCTGAGGCAAGAGGATTACTGCAAGTTCAAGGCCAGCCTGGGTTACATTGTGAGATCAAGGCCACCCTAGACTACATAGTGAGACCCTGTCACAAGCAAGCAAGCAGACAAACAAAAATTATATGAAGGGTATAATTTATTGTAAATCACAAATATAAATGAACTTAGAGAACTAAGATGGAGTCCACTGAAATCCTGTCACTCGCAGATGCTAGTTCTAACAAGGGTCATTTTGAGGAAATTAGAGGCTGTTCTAAATCAGGTGACACCAAGTCTTCAGAGTAGCGGCTGAATGGTCTGACCACTTTGTTATTTTTGTGGCAAAGCAAAAAGAAGCCATGAGGGGCTGGGGATTTAGCTCAGCGGCAAGCTCAGCGGCACAGCGCCTGCCTGGCCAGTGCAAGGTTGTAAGTTCAATTCCCGGTAGCGGAAAAAAACAAAACGAAACAAAAATAAACAAAAAGCAGCCGCGAAAACCCACAGGCTCCCTGGGAAAGGAAGTCAGCTCATTGGTGAAAGTGAGCTTGGTCAGTCATGGCTTCCCACAAACTGGAGCAGTGACCCACTGGGCCGCTGAGATGGGGACTGCGTTGCCTCAGTTACTGGAAGCCGCCTCTTGGAACGTCATGCTTTCGCCCGGGCCCTCCTCTCTGACCTGGCCTCTGTGGTCCCCTTGCTGGGTGTAAGTGTTCTCACAGTACTGGTGGGAGTTAGAACTGGAGGTGAAACGGAGGCCGTGCAGGCTGTTTCATTTGTTTTCCAGATGAAAAGAAAAGTTGAGGGTCTGGAGAAATGACGGGATCAGCTGTGGGAGACCTCGGCCCCACATAGCTGTTGCTTAGGCAGTTGTGTTGCTGCTCTTGGCCGCTAGGGCTGAGCTTTTAAAAACAAATGTAGATGAGGCAGTGCTGATGCCTGCGCCTGTGTGGCATCAGGCCCTTCACCCAGGTTGCACGTCACTGCACTAGGCCTGAGGAATGCACAGGAGAGACCTCAGGGTCGGCAGAGTGGCAGAGGCCACACTTCACAGAGCTCACTTCTCTCTGCGGTGTTGTCTCCCTGTTCATGTCTAAGGTTCCGTCTGCTTTGGAGAGGCTAGAAAAACGGGTGGGGAGCTGAAACATGTCGACCTAACACAGTTGTTTATGTATCAACTGGGGGGAAACACAGATTTGAACTTGAAAAAAATTAAAAGCCAGCACACAGCTGTAGTCCCATCACTCGGGAGGCAGAGGCAGGAGGCTTGCCATGAGTTCGAGGCCAGCCTCAACTGCATTGTGATACAGTCTGAAAAACAAAAACAAAAGAAATGTTTCTTAAATCTTCCTTTTCACACCGGCCGCACTGCCATTGTCCGTGTTCGGGCCCAGTCGTTCCTCCCCAGCACCACGGAACGGCGAGTGTCACTTCCAGCGAGCTCATCCCCTGCCCGTGCCTTCCGCCTTCCTCGTGGCCTTATTGAGGTGCGCAGGAAGCTGCACACGTGTGCAGTGTACAGTGCGGTGGGTTTGGCCTGTCATCACAGCTGAGAAACACCCTCTGGTGATTCCTCCTTCCCGCTGCTCAACTTTTAATTTGAATTTCCAAGATTTGATAGAAACGGAGCCACTCAGTCTGTCCTCTGGTGACCTGCCGTCGGTCCAGACGGTCGGTGCCCGTGGTAGCCGAGCAGAAGACTCCGCAGTGTGCTCCCGTTAACCTGTGGATGAGCGTTAGGGTTTTCAGTTTGGGTCGCTCAGAAGCAGCACTACTGTGAGTGCTTGTGTGTAGTCCTGTGTGCACGCGTGCTGGGGTAATACTGTACCTGCAGGTGGCGTGACCGGGTGGTGGGGACGGATCTTCTGGAGAGACGCGCAGTCTTCTGTGGTGCCCTCGTTGTGTGTCCCCCTGCAGTGTGTGGGTGCAGTTGCACCACATGCTTGCCAGGCCTGGTCTGATCAGTCTCCTTTGGTTTTAGCCATTCTGGCAGGTGTGTGGCAGCATCTCACTTTGATTTACTTAGCATTTATTTCTCTGATGTCTAACGATATTGAACATACTTTCATGTGCTTATTTGCATCATGTGAGGTTTTTTTTTTTTTGTTTTGTTTTTTTTTAGTACTGGGAATTGAACTCAGGACCTTGCACTTGTCAGGCAGGAGTTTGTGCCATGGAGCTAGATCCCTGGCCCCATGTGATTGTTTTTTTGGGCTAGTGATTTTTTTTTTTTTTTTGGTTTTTTTTCCGCTACTGGGAATCGAACTTAGGACCTTGCGCTTGCCAGGCAGGCGCTGTGCCGCTGAGCTAAATCCCCAGCCCCCCCATGTGATTTTTTTAATCATACTTTTTCCTGTAAAGTATCTGTTAAAGTCTTTTGGCCCATTTTCAGAAATTTTGTATTGGGAGATGAGTGGCCTTTAATATTCTGTTAAGCCAGGTGTGGTGGCACATGCCTGTAATTCCAGAACTGGGGAGGCCCTATGCAGGAGGATCTCCTTCAGTTCAGGGCAGCCTGGGCAACATAGTGAGTTCAAGGCCAGCTTGAACTACGTATTGAGGCTGTCTCAAAAAAACCTCAAACCATTAAATGTCCTTTTGCATTGTCTATTTTCTCAATTAAGTTTGAGAGCTTTTTATATTCTGGATACAAGTCTTTTATGAGATAAGTGGAACTCAGATATTCTCCCAGTTTGTGGCTTGTCTTTTAAATTTTTCTTAAGTGTCTTTTGGTGAGGCCCCCACATTGAACTTTTTTTTGAGACAGGGTCTCATTATGTAGTCCGGGCTGGCCTTGTGCTTGTGGTACCCCTGCCCCAGCCTCCCCAGTGCTGGTATTATAGCTGTGTGCCACTACGCCCGGCTCCCAAGTTGCACTTTAATGTCATAAATTCTTAGAGTTACAAGGGAGCTGATGTTTTATCATTTTGGTATATTTGAAATTTTAAAAAATAGGCTATTCTCTGTAATGAGAATCTTCACTGTTCTGGCATTCTTTAAAGTTGGAACTATGCCTGTAATCCTTTCTGATGTGACTGCTCTCTGTCTCTGCCTCCCCCTTTGCAGCCGGGGTGTGGTCTTTGGTCTCTGGAGCGCCTGTGCCTCCGTGGGTAACATCTTGGGAGCCTGCCTCGCCTCCTCTGTCCTGCAGTATGGCTATGAGGTGGGTACTTCTTCTCAGCTTGTGCATGTGTTTATATATTATGTACAGTTTTTTCTGCAGTAATACTTCAGAAGCACCCTTTTGAAACTAGATTTGTGTTTGAGTAGGGTAAGGCTGTATTAAAAATGAAATAACTTCTGATAAATTCAAACACATAAGAAAACTGTTAATGCAGAAGCACTAGCAAGAGTTGAAATGCATAGAACTGAGAAAAAGTACAGTGGCACCTCAGTTCACGAACTTAATTTTTTTTGGTCTTTTTGAGACAGGGCCCTGCTATGCATTTCAGGCTGGCTTTGAGCTCACTTTGTAGCTGAGGCGGGTCTTGAACACGTAATGATCCTCCTGCCTCAGCCTCCCGAGTGGTGGGATTACAGGTGTGTGCCACCATGCCCGACCTCACAAACTTAATTTGTTCCATGATTTTGGCTAAGATGGCCGTGTTTGTGCAGGAAAGATAACTGGTCGTGTTTGTCACCCAATGTAGAGTTTGTAAACAAAAACAGAATTCTTCCAAACGCTTTTGTTTGTGAGCCAGAAGCATTTGTGAACCAAGGTACCACTGTATTTGCCACTCACAGATGGCAGTCTCCCTGATATGTAAATAATGTCCATAGGTTTATAAGGAAAAGACAACATAGAAAGACAAAGCACTGGAATGAATAGCTTACGGAAAGGAAATAGAAATGGTTTAAAACATGAAAAGACGTGGACCAGGGATATAGCTCAGCAGCACAGCACCTGCCTGGCAAGCGTGAGGTCGTGAGTTCAATTCCCAGTGCCAGAAAACCCCCCAAAACCAAAAAAACAACAACAACAACAAAAAAAAAACATGAAAAGACGCTCAGCTTTACTCATAGCTTCTCCATTCATTCAGGAAAGCCCTTTCTGTGCTCCGAGGCGCTGCAGAAGACAGCACTGGCCAGAAAGGATGAACATCAGTCCCTAGGAGTTCAGGGGTTAGTTGATGGAGAAGCATTAATCACAACTATACTGTGAAAAACATAAGAAGAAGCAGCTACGTGTATCAGATTGGTGAAACTACAACAGGTTGCCGACCACCTGTTGTGCTCATGATTGCAGAACCGGCCATCGCTGTTGGGAAATGCGTTCTGCCCCTGCAGGGGTTAATCAGTATCTGTCCAAGTTCCACCTGCTCTGACCACGCAGCTCCACTCCAGGAATTAATTGCCCAGGTGGATGTACTCTTACAGGTACAAAGAGATGTACCTGCAAGGTTGTTTCAACATCGCTAGTCATAGCCCAAGATTGAAAATGTGCTAACCAGCAGGGAACTAGCACATCGCTAGTCATAGCCCAAGATTGAAAATGTGCTAACCAGCAGGGAACTAGCTGAAGGCTGGTTCACCCGTTTGAAGGGTGCTGTGCCTCTGGAGTAGGATTTGGAAGCTCCGCTCAGCAAGATGAGTGCACCGGAAAGATCCTAGACAGCAAGGTTGCAAGGCAGTGTGAATTGAACGATGCTGTTTGTTTGAAAAGGAGGAACGAATAAATATATGTATGTGTTAGCTGTGTATTTCTAAAACAGTCTCTGCCCTGACATGCTGATGCACGCCTGTAATCTAGCACTGTGTGAGGCTGAGGCAGGAGGATCACAAGTTTGAGCCCATCCTGGGTGACTTAGCAAGATCCTGTCTCCAAATAAAATTTTTAAAAGGGGGTAGGGGTGGGGATTTAGCTCAGTACAGAGGCCCCAGGTTTCATCCTAGTACCAGACAAAACAGTCTCTGGAAGGTAAGAATTAAATGACAAAAGCGGGGAACTTGAGAGAATGAATGGATCTAGAAGGGGTGTGAGGGGAGTGAGGGGTGTTTTACTTTGTATCTTTTTGTTTCTGGACTATCACTCAGAAACCTCAATCATTACAATGGAGGACATTGTTCTTTTAAAGCTAGATACATTGTTGCGGGCTCACCAAGGATTTGGGGCTAGGTAGAAGCTGGTCCTTTATGGCAGACGCCTGTTTTCTAGGCTTCCTGGCTTTACACCTGGGTTGTCCTGTGCGGCTCAGATGGGAATTTTACTGTACCATCTCTGCTGCTCCCAGACCTGGGGACCCTGCTTTCATCTTGTCATTTGCTTATTTAAAAATTCAGACTGTCCATGGCAAATAAACCACCTGTGCAGCCTGGCAGTTGGCTCTCCAGTCTTGGTGCTCCTTTTCCAAACCGGCGGTGGCCCCGTCAGGCCCTGGCCAGGCCGTCCCTCGGTGCCGCTGCATGCAGCTCCCTTCTTATTCCAGGCCGCACCTGGGCTCGAGTTGTGCCTGGAAGGAAGGCCGTTGCTTTGATTTTTGCCTCTTCCTTGAAGCATCCTCCCCGCCTGCCTCAGCCTTCTTTTAGCTGTTTCCTCTTCCTAGGTTCATTTCTTTCTTATGAGAGCAGAGCCCCCTCATTTCTTGGGCGGTGTGCTACCCTATGTTGCTGTTTGCGGTGCTATTTAATCTCCTCAACTGGATATAGTATCTCATCTTATGTCCAGCCGTGTGATGCGGAGAATGAGATCTGGGGGGATGGCCCTGACTTTACAACCCTCCATCACCATGTGGTTTCCAGGCCTCCCCTCACGATGCTCTGTGACCCCCACAGAGCTCTGGGGCAAATGCAGGAGGAGTCACAGGCAGAGCACTTCGCGGGGTGTGGCCCGCTGCAGAGTTCTTGCTTCCCACGCCTGGCCCTGGCTTGGATCCCCGGGGCCGCAACGCGAAAGCAAGAATGCATGGCCAGAAAAACGCCAGCACGCAGTCTCACGGGCCTCCGTGGTCTCCCTGTTAGTCCCTCGTGTGCCGCTTGTGACTCTGCTGGCGCAGGCCACCCGCTAAGACCCGCCTCTCCCTCTCCTCCAGTATGCCTTTCTGGTGACAGCGTCTGTGCAGTTTGCTGGTGGGATCGTCATCTTCTTCGGACTGCTGGTGTCACCAGAGGAAATTGGTGAGGAGAAGCTGTCTCTTCCTTTCACAGTGTCTTAGGGCTAGGGGTCTGAGGTCTGGAAATGGAATTTCTTTTCCTAGGACTGCTGAGCTCCTTGCAGTGAATTACCGGAGCAGTTTTGCATTTTGTGCGCTGTAGGCGCGGAGACCAAGCCCAGGCAGCTGCTGGTGTTTGAGGGTGACGTGCACCTTTTACACGTGCAGGAAAACCTTAGCAAATGCCTTTTTTTCTTTCACCGTCCTGGGACTCAAACCTGGAGCCTCATTCATGCCGGGCAAATGCTGTACCACTAAGCTACATTCCTAGCTTGGGAGTGATTTTTAACTTTGGGACACTGGCTACAAATTAGCATGAATGTGTTCCCAATTTCACTTTTTTTGTTTGTTTGAAACAGGGTCTCACTATGTAGTTCAGCCTGGCCTCAAACTCAGCAGTTCTCCTGCCTCAGCCTCTCCAGTGCTGGGATTATAGGCACTACCATGCCCACTCCAGTTTCACTTCTTGAGAATTTCTTTCCTTCATAAGAATGATTCCAGGGACTGAAGATTTAGCTCAGCGGCACAGCGCCTGCCTGGCAAGCGTGAGGTTGTGAGTTCGATTCCTGGTACCGGGGGAAAAAAAAACAAAAAAAAAGAATGATTCCGTTTAGGGCTGGGGATATAAGTCAGTGGCGAGCACTTGCCTGGCACGCCTGAGGCCCTGGCTTTAATCCCTGACGTCAAATGCACACCACAGTTCGATAATTGTGATTTGATTCAATGTCATAATTATGGTTAAACAGAGTGGACCACTGAAACTATAGAAGCAGAAAGGTATGCGATTTGTGCACCCCCAAGTAGTAGTATACAGGCTGTGTGACTGTGATGGGCCTTAGTTGACCTTGGTTGTTACTGCTACAAGATGGAAATAAAAATGGCGAGAACTCCAGAAGCGATACACACAGAGCCCTTCGCACCGTGCCAGGCACACAGTAGGTACTCAGTAAATGGTAGCTCTGGTTTTCGTTTTAGGTCTCCTAGGTATTGAAAGAGAAGAAAACCTTGAAGAAGACTCACACAGGCCTTTAATTAATGCTGAAAATGAAGATGAATATGAGCCCAGTTATTCCATCCCAAAGGCCAGTGATGTCCCGCATGTGAAGGCAATCAGCTTCGGCCAGGCCTGCTGCCTGCCCGGAGTCATTCCGGTAAGGACCACTCCAGCCTCCTTCTGGGACCGTGCGGGTGCTCGCTCTGCCTGGGGTCAGGCTGCTCGGGGCGGGTGGTATCTTTGATGCCCAATTTCAGGAACATGGACTCAAGAGTGCTTTGCGGTGTCCGAGGCTCCTCGGAGGCCTAATGCAGTCAGCAGGCCCTCCCTTGAGAGAACCAGAGAGTACCGATTTTCAGCTTTGAGGAACCCTAAAATGAAGGCACAGATAGTTTGGGATAGATGGGACCCATGAACCCTGTTTTGCTGACCCAGATGTGGCATGTGGCTGTCTTTGGCTTGCATATTATGCATAGCCCGAGAAGGGCTTGGTGAGGTCACATCTGCCTTACGGGCCTGCATGCCCCCTGTCCGGGATGGAGAACTCACCTGCCTTGTTGGGAGGTCCGGAACAGAGCACTGGGGTTTCTCGGTGCTGTGTCCTGGTCCGCACGGCCTCTGCAGGCGGGAAGCCTCGCTGCGTCCACGCAGACGCCCTTCTGTGGTTTTCCTGTCGGGTGCTTCGGGCGCTCTGGCACTGGCATGGAAGTGGGGGGCCTTGCCTAAGTGTCCAGCTTCCCCACTAGATTTCTGGGACGACAGGGGTGAGTCACTCAACTCGTCCTGTGTCTCAGTCCCCCTGGGTTTCCTGGGATCTCCAACACTGGGTTAGTATGTGGTGAATAAGAGCTGGATTTGTCTTGTCTGCGGTGCTGGGGGTTGAACCCAGTGCCTTCACACTGAGCTGTGTCACCTGCCTTGTTTTAGTTTTGAGACAGGGTCTCACTAAGTTGCCCAGGCTGGGCTCGAACTTGTGATCCTGCTGCCTCAGCCTCCCAGAGTCCTGGGATTAAGGGAGTGTGTGTCTCTAAGCCTGGAGTTTTATTTCACTTATTAGTGTTCTGTGAATGTAACCCCCAGGTAGATTCAGAGTGTCCAGGTATCTTCATGCTCACTGCACCAACTCTTTTTGCTTGTGCCTCCAAGCTAAGCAAAACACTTCGAATAGCTCAGTGTGAGTTAAAACCGGTCCTTTTCCACAGTTCTTCACCTCAGGTACGGGAAGCTCTGGTTCCTGTAGGCCTATTGTTATGCTAAGGTATTCTCTTTCAGCTAGTTATTAAAATATTCTGCTAGCAGGAATTAATTGTGGAGACTGATTGCAATTTGTTGTGAGTGAACGGAACTCTTGCCGGTCCTTTGTCCTCACGGCCATTGTTCTCCTGGTGGGCGGGCTGGTGAGGAAGGAAGCCACCTCAGCCTTTGTCCCTGCAGCAGGCTGTGCAGGTGGCTGCTCTGGTGACCAGGGTGTGGCTCTCTGGGGGAAGCCCCTGCCTGGCCAGGGGAGGCCTTCAGCAGGTGGTACCTGAGGGCTGAGCAGCAGCCCCTTTGAAGTCACCAGCCCTGCCCCTCTCCGTTGTTGCTAAATGTTAGGGTTTCCTGGCAATTACGAGTTCAGTCTTCAGATTTCGACCCATCTTAAGGCAGCTGCAGCTGTTCTCCCTCACGAGAGCGCCACGAGGCCGAGGACGGCCACGCTCCTTACTTTTTGACTTCTGGGATGCTTCTCTTCGCCAGTGGCTGCGGGGTGTGGGGCGAGGATGCTGTCCTGGGCTCGGGCCGGGCAGAGCAGCGTCGCTGCCCTCACTGCGCAGCATGGAGAGTAGCTGCCTGCAGCGGAAGCTGTGACGCTTGCGAGGTGGATTTGCCCGTGGCTAGTGCTGGGCAGTGGCAAGAACGCTGCTCACCTGCCTCCTGGGTTCCAGACCCGGGGTCGTGTCTACTGCAGACCTGACAGGAGAGGAGCCTGGCCGTGGCTAAGGGCATCTGTCTGCAGCTTTTACTGCAGGCTCCTTCTAGGCGCTAACGCCGGTGAAGAGAGGAGGGAGCCTGCGTGAAGTCAGGCAAACAGGAATTTGTGAACATGTTTAATTCTAAAACCAGGTAGCAAGCCGGGGGAGGGGGGGGGGCGGGTGGCGGCGCATGCCTGCAATCTCAGCGCTCGGGAGGCTGAGGCAGGAGGATCGCTGTGAGTTTGAGGCCAGCCTGGACTACACAGCGAGACCCTGTCTCAAACCCTCCCCAATCCAAAAACAGATATCGTGGACCCCAAATGCTTATCTTTTATTTTACTTTGTTTTTTAACATTAAAAATTGTGGCCCAGGCAGGTTGTGGTAGTGCAAGTCTAATCCCCGCACTCAGGAGGCTAAGGCAAGAGGATTGACATGAGTTCAAGACTACCCTGGCTACGTAGTGAGTTCAAGGCCAGGCTGAACTACCTAGTGACACCCTGCCTCAAACAAAACAAACCAAAAAAAAACCCCTGTGGCCCTGTGTGTTGATATACACCTATAATCACCCCACTTGAGAGGCTGAGCCAGGAGGCTCACCACAAGTTTGCAGCCAGCTTGGACTACATAGTGAGTTCAAGGCCAGCCTAAGCTACATAGTAAAACCCTGTCTCAGAAAACAAAGTAAAAGCAAACAGAAAAACACGAAAAGCTGTGGCCTTGCGTGCTATTTGTCCCTTCCTGATGGTTTCGTGTGTTTCTCGCAGTACTCCCTGGCCTATGCCTGCCTGAAGCTGGTGAACTACTCCTTCTTCTTTTGGCTGCCCTTCTATCTGAGTAACAACTTTGGCTGGAAGGAGGCCGAAGCCGACAAGTTGTCCATCTGGTATGATGTCGGTGGAATCGTAGGTATGCTCGGGTGCGTCTTCCTCGGAAGGGAAGGAGCTCATCTCTAGCAGCCTCTTAGCGCACTGGGCAGTCTGTCGCATGGACACTTTTCTCACTTCCTCGGCTACAGCTGTTTTTTCTAAGTGGTCCCCCAGTGGAAAGGCCAGAGAGGAGGTGTGCTCAGGCAGGCTCTGCTTTCTCTTCTATCTCGGCAGTTGCTCTAATATCTCTTCCGCACATGCGCACTGATGCCTTGACTCTAAAGCTCGCAGTGCGAGAGAGAGATCTAGGTTAGAGAGTGAGTGTGTTCTCTCTGCTGCCTCCTTCCCCGCCACTCCCAGCCAGGGAAGCCAGAGCAACACCTCAGCGGGCAGACTGTCTCATCCGAGAGGCGGCAGGACGCGAGGGGCTGACTCTGAGTGTCCTGCAGTTGCTTCCTTGTCCACGGGGGTTTCACAGTGACTGAGTGCCGGGGCCAGGGCATGAACACGGAAGGAAGGAACCCGAGAAGGCCTTTCCATGGCTTCTCTTACATGGCTGTGGCGAAACCTTCTCCCCCTCTCAGTGTTTACATTAGGGTTGTGTAAGACTAGTCTGTCCTTGGGTGAACTCGCTGTCCTTATCTGTAGGTCCAGAGCCAGAGGTGAGGTTGGCACCTTTCCACCTGACCACACTTCTGTGTCTTCTGACAGGAAGATCCCCTCGGTGCCTGCAGTCTGATGAGTATGTACCGGATGTCCCGCAGCTCCCAGAGCTCAGACTGGCACTCTCTGAATGTGACAGCGCTGCCCATAGGGCTCACGTCCTCTCTTCTTAAGCACACTGACTTGTTAGCACCGAACCGTAGTGGCTGCATTTAATTTTAGTGCTGCTATTTAGTGCTGCTACCTTCTGCTATAAATAGCTATGAGGGACGGTCCTTAATTAGTCATGTTTTGAATTAAAAAGCAGACCAATCAGGAGAAATGTCTGCAGCTACTATTCCTAGGGAAAACAGTAAGGGAGAGTGGATGGTTTTGGGGATGCTCCTTTCTTCATCTCGATGTTTGATTGTGCAGCCGGGCCCTAGGGGAAGCTGGCATCTTCACGGCCGGGCTGTGGCGCGAGGGGAGGGTCAGGTTGGGGGTGTGGTTCTGACCCACTGTGTTCTCCGTGCTCAAGGTGGGACACTGCAAGGCTTCATCTCAGATGTCCTGCAGAGGAGAGCGCCGGTGCTGGCCCTCAGCCTGCTCCTGGCAGTCGGCTCCCTCGTGGAGTACAGCCGTGAGTACTCCTGCCTGCATGGTGTGGGAGCAAGGGTGTGTCCCAAGTCGGGTCAGCTCGGATCCTGGCCACCTCCGCAGGCCCGGCATGCCTGGGAATACTGTCACACACAGCATTGTTTGTGTCGGGGGAAGCTGGCAGCGCTCCTGCTTTGTGGGTTTGTTTAAAGGCTTGCTCAGGAGCATATGTGCTTTGTGCGAGGGGTGGCTCCAGAGGGACTGTATTAGAGCCAATAAAACAATAAAAGGGGCAAGGTTTCAAAAGCGGGCCGGGGCTAATTAGCCGGTGTGGGATGCGTCCCTTAAGATGCCGCCGGTCCGGGCAAAGCTTTCCTTGGCTTTTAGAAGTCTTGTTAGCTTGAGGCAGACATGACAAATGAAAACGGGCAGAGGCGGTGAGAGTCGCCTCTTTGTTGTTTGTGCGGGGAGGGATTTGTGAGGTCGCAGAGGCCTGGACCTTTGTGTACTCGCGGCAGAGCCGCGTGTGGTTGCTGCCCCAGTCACTGTGCTGTCTGTGTCTCCTCACAGGGTCTCCCAACAACAAATCCATCAACGCACTCCTGATGGCGGTGACAGGTACTGCAGCCGTGGGACTGCGCTGGCCTCTGTCCAAAGCCTCAGTCACGGAGAACTCGAACAGCAGAAAATGCCTGTCTTTCCAAATTCTTTTTAAAATTGTTACTATTTTTTGTGGTCCTAGCTAATGAGCTCAGGGAGCGCTGAGCTACAGCCCAAGCCTTTTCGTATTTTATTCGAGGCGAGGTATCACTAATTTCAGACCTGCACTTCCTCTGCCTCAGCCTCCTGAGTAGCTGGGATTTTAAAAATGTTTTCAGCATGTGTTTGCAGTTCACGATGCTGACAGTCACTGTGGGGAGCTGGTGTGGACAGGAAACACATCTCAGATCTTTCCCCCTCCCTTCCATCCCGTTGTCGTCGGATTTCGGACACGCACCCCCACAGGTCTCTGTCCAGACTCGTCCCCTGCTTGTCGGTCACTTCCTCCACCCTGTTGGGACAGAAGCTGTCCCTATCAGTTGTCTGTTGAGACAGAGTCTTTTTGTGTAGTCCAGACTTTCCATGTACTCATGATCCTCCTGCCTCAGCCTCCTGAGAGCCAGGATTACAAGGCTGCGTCCCCACGCCCAACTTCAGTATTACTTTTTTTTTTTTTTTTTTTGGTTTTTCTCCGGTACCGGGAACCGAACTCACGACCTTGCGCTTGCCAGGCAGGCGCTTTTGCCGCTGAGCTAAATCCCCAGCCCCTGTATTACATTTTTGATTGCTGCCTCAGCTTGGTTTTGGCTTTGGAAAGAGACTTTGGAAGATGCCACATTGGAAACCAGTCCACCAGCTTACAAAAGTTCAGGCTTGTGAGTTTTTCCTTTGTTGTTAGAATTGGTTAGTATTCCTTCACTCGAGCATTAGATGAAATAGTTGGTTGCAATTAAGGGACTACGGTATGGAAAGACTGCTAATTTTTTTAAACCTCACATCCCATCAGGAGTGAGCCATTCATGTGCGAGGCACACAGCTCAGCCCGGGGCCGGGGCAGATTCTCAGGCGCCAGCGAGGAGGTGGAGAGAAGCCCCCGACCTGTGAAAGCGGCCCTTTCCTCTCCCCTCTCATTTTCAGTGTGCTTGCTGACTTTGGACTGACACCGTGTGGTAGAACCACACTCATGGAATTGGGTGAGCTAGGCAGTTATTGATGAGTGGAAACTTCACAGGAGTGGAAAGGCTCCATATTTTGCTCTATTTCTTACACTTTGAAGTTCTATAGATATACTAGAGCAACTAGGCATGGTGATGCATGCCTGTAATCCCCGCACTCAGGAGGCTGAGACAGGAGGATCATGACAAGTTTGAGGCCAACTTGGGCTACATAGTGAGTTTAAGGCCAGCCTGAACTACATGGCGAGACCCTGTCTCAAAAACCAAAAAGAAAATCCACCAAAAACTAGATTGTCACAAATTCATAAAGGGAGTTCAGAAAGTGAATGCTATTTTGAAGATATTCTTTGTTCTTTCCTTCTATTTTGTCTTTACCCAATATATAAAATATTGGGCTGGGCATAGCGGCACACGCCTGTAATCCCAGCACTTGGGAGGCTGAGGCAGGAGGATCATTAAGAGTTCGAGAGCAACCTGGGCTACAAAGTGAGCTCAAGGCCAGCCTGAACTGCACAGGGAGACCCTGTCTCAAAAAGACAAAAAAAAAAAAAAAAAAAATTGGGATGATATTTTTTGTTTTACTCAGTAGATTACTCATGGTGTTCGGAATCACTTTTAATAAGAATCTACTCTATGACTCTAGGATTTTTTATTGGTGGTCCTTCTAACATGATCAGCTCGGCCATTTCTGCGGACCTGGGTCGCCAGGAGCTGATCCAAGGCAGCAGCGAGGCCTTGGCAACCGTCACGGGCATCGTTGATGGGACTGGGAGCATTGGCGCTGCTGTGGGCCAGGTGAGGTGGTGGAGGGTGGGGGCCGTCAGGTGGAGGCGCGCCTGCGAGCTGCGGAGTTCTGTGCCGAGAGCCTTGGGTTTGCCTGCTCCTCCGTGGTCCCACACATGTGGCCCTACGTGGAAGGCCCTCTACCTGATTGAATTCCTCCTTTGACTTCTATTCTTTCTAACTTCTGAGACTCACCCTTCTCCCCAGCTGCCACCCGCCTTTTCCCAGGCTGAACGTGGCAGTCCAGAGTGGCACATGAGACACACATGCTGCTTCTCCTGCCTACCTGCATGCCAGCCCCGCCTGCCCTCTGCTCTCAAAGGTCCCTCTGTGTCCCTCTTCCAGACACTGGTGTATACCCGCCCCCTCCCTGCATCCCCACCATTCACACCGTGGCTTCTCACTGCCTCTGAGTTAGTTTCCCACATGTCCTGGGCTCTGAGTGTGCCTCAGAGGGTGGTCCGGAGGTGTATGTAGAGCACAAAGCTCGCTGCAGACTTGCTCCATGGGGCCTGGGCGCTGCTCGCCAGGCCTCCCTGGGTTCTTACGTGGTCTGACATGAGGGCCTCTGAGGAGCCAAGACTGTCTACCATGTGCAGCCAGAACGATGCGCACTGCCCCTTCGGCCTCTCGTTCAAGCTTGCTCTTGTTTGGAACACGTGGGAGACTCCTGGCTGTACCACTCCCCAGGTGCTAAGCTGACAAATCTGGGAGCCACCTGCGTGGAGAAAGTAGCTGAACCTTTGAGAGTGGATCAGGCCTTCAGGGGAAAGAGCATAGGCAGAACCTTGAGGAGCGCCCAGGGGACAGGAGGCGGAAGCACTGGGTTCAGGGGTAGTCAGTGGACTGCTAGGCTGATGGTGAGATCCTAGGTGGAGAGAGGTCAGTAGAAGGACAGAAGAGTCTTAGTGCTGACATTCAGGGGGTTACGAATGGCTCAGGAGTGTGCTCTTGGGCTTGCTTGGAGGTGGGTGGCCGTGCTTAGTGAGAGAGCTGGTGTGGAGATGAAGCAGGCCAGCCTCAGTCCTACCCCACTGAGCAGTGCAGCTGCAGTTAGTGCTGTGTCTGCATCCATGTAGCAGCTTTGTGAGCCTAGTGGATTGGCTTGTGTGCTTTTGTGGTCCTTACACCTACAGCTGCACCTGCCCCACAGATGACAGTCCAGTGTTTGTTGAATGATTGCAGAATGAATGAATCATGCGTCAACTTGCTTAACATTCTTTTTTTTGTTTTGTTTTGAACTTCATTTTTTTGGTGCTGGGAATCGAACTCAGGACCTTGCGCTTGCCAGGCAGGTACTTGTGCCACTGAGCTATATCGCCGGCTTTTTTTGTCTTCTTTGAGACAGGGTTTCACTGTGCATGCAGTTCAGGCTGGCCTCGAGCTCACTTTGTAGGCCAGGCTGGTCTTGAACTCCCAACGATCCTCCTGCCTCAGCCTCCCAAGTGCTGGGATTACAGGAGTGTGCCACCACGCCCAACTTAGCATTCTTGATTAAATGATTTTTTTTTTTTTTTTTGGTGGTACCAGGGATCGAACTCACAACCTTGTTCTTGCCAGGCATGCACGTATGCCACTGAGTTATATCCCCAGCTCCTGATTAAGTGATTCAAGGACAAAAATAAAGTGCTCAGCAAAGATTGCAGAATTACATACCTGAGCACGCTCTGGAGTGGAAGTAAGGACATGCTGATGGTTACCAGTTCAGATGTCTTCCTAGCTGAAATGAAGGGTAGCCGTACTAGGCTCCTGTGTCTACATACTGTGTTTTAGTTCTCTCTTCTCACTAATATTTTCTCTGTGAACTAAATGGATGAGTTGGGATGAGCCTTCTGAGGCGCTTACCTTGACTTGGAACGTCACTGGGCGCCGGTGTCGGGTCCCGTGCTGTGCACCGGTCAGCATTCGTGACGTGGAGTCGGGGGGCGCATGGGTCATTGACAGCCATTGGCGTCCCTCCTCTGCGTTGATTCCTGAGTGACTTCCTGTTGCCTGGGGGGGAATCACAGACCCCACGACTTGAGATTAAAGTTCTCAGCCTTGCCTTCCTCCCCCCACGCCCTTGAGTAACTTTAGTGCCTCCACTTTTCCTGACTCCTCCAGGAGGGGTTCCTGGTTCTGGCCTCCCTGTTGCCATAGTGACTGACGCACACCTCCAGGACGTCTGTGGTCAGCTGATTTTCAACAAGGGCACCATGGCCGTTCAATGGGGAAAGAATGTTTTCCTCAACAGATGATGGTGGCAAAGCTGGGTATCTACACAGAATGGATATCCATGAAAGAATGGAGTTGGACCCTTACCTTATATAATACAAAAGTTAACTCCGAATGGATTAAAGACCTAACTTAGTGAACTAAAATTATAAAACTCTTAGAGCAAAATAGAAAAATCTTCATGATAAATACTGTACTACAAGGAACCAGTAGGCACTCAAAAGATTCTCAACATCCTTTTTCATTAGGGAAATGCAAATTAAGAGTGGTGAGGTAGGACTTCATACCTTCCAGGGCGGTGTAATGAAAACTGTGAGGAAATAAGCACTGGTGATTGCGTGGAGAAATCAGAGTACCGCATTGCTCATGGGAATGTAGGCTGCCGCTGCTGTGGGAAATACCTTGGCAGTTCCTCAAAAAGCAAACGTAGAATGACCATGCCATATGATCCGGTAATTCCACTCCGGGATTGTGGGGGACCACCTGGAGGACTCCTTAAAAGAAGAGTATTGTCTCCATTCTGGCCTAACGTGGCTCTATTTCCATGTATTGATATGTACAGAGCTGGCTAGGACTTTTCCTTATTCCCTCAGTTGGCTTTAAGCAGTGCAAATCGGTCCAGTGGAGGTGCGGATGTGGAATCTTTGAAGCAAGGCCACAGGGCCGTGTTCCGCCCGTGGCTCCCACGGAGCACGTGTGAGCCAAGTGGGAAGGAGAGCCGTGCCACATGCTATGGGCTGGGATGAGCCTCGAGATAAGAGGCGTAAAAACTGACACAGCAGAGCGGAAGCACCAACCCTGAACATCAGATATTACCCGACACTGTGTTATGCAGATTACCCTTTCTGTGTGTCCTCCCTGCGCATTGCAGAGGTGATTTCAGGCCTCCTGCCCAGCCCAGCTCACGGCACTCAGCACTCCCTGCCGCTCTCACCGTCCCTCATCCCCGAGCCGCTGCCCTCGTCGTGAATTAATAAAACCCGGGTTCGGCCCTGGGTGGAGGCCTTTGTTCTGGGTGGCCATCGCCCTAGCTGGGCTTGGGGCCCCTCGGCTCCCCACCACTACAGATATGACTTAGTGTCTTCATTCTCGCCATGTGTCACGCTGGTAGTGGCAGATTGGAATTAACTTGCTAGGATTCCAATAACTTTTCAAGAGGATTACAAATATATAAACTTCCTGGACCAAGATACGGACCGGGAGGGGCTCCCTATACTAGATAAATTCCCAGAAGGCTTGAAAACAGGGACACAGGTATTTGTGTACCAATGTTCATTGCAGTATTACTGATGGTGGCTAAAAGTTGGAAACAGCTCAAGTGTTCAACAGATGAATGAATAAACAAGCTGTAGTGTGTGGTATACTCTTCAGCCCTGAAAAAGGAACAAAGTTCTAACACATGCTTACGACATGGTTGAACCTTGAAAATGTTGTGCTAAGTGAACTAAACGACACAAAAGGACCACAGCTGCATGATTCCATTCTGGGAACACCCAGAATAGGCAAATTCATAGAGATAGGATAGAAAGCACATTGCAGGTTGCCAAGGGTAGGGTGAGGGGGTGATAATGAATTACTGTGAAGTATCGGTTTTCTTTTTCTTTGAGACAGGGTCTCAGTGTGTAGTTCAGGCTGGGCTTGATCTCACTGTGTAGTCCAGACTGGCATCAAACTCATGGTGATTGTCCTGCCTTAGCCTCCCAAGTGCTGGGATTACAGGTGTGTTCCACCACACTTGACCTAAGTGTAGGATTTCTGTTGGGTAATGAAAATATTTTAGAAGTAGATTGTGGCGATGGTTATACAGCATTGTGAATGTACTACATTTAAAAGTGATTTAAATGGCAAGTTTAAGATGGGTGTGGTGGTGCATACCTGTAATCCCAGCACTTGGGAGGCTGAGGCAGGAGGATCGCTGTGAGTTTGAGGCCAGCTGGGCTACATAGTGAGTTCAAGGCCAGCCTAAACTGCATAGTGAAACTCTGTCTCAAAAACAGCAAAAAATAAATAAAATGGCAAGCTTTATATTAGATAATTTTACCATAGTAAAAGAAAATGGGTTAAATGCTATTTGAGTCTTTTCATTCATTGAAAGTAAAGTAGAAGAAGATGCTGTGGGTCGGGGCAAGAGTCCAGGAAGCCAGTGAGCCGCCCCAGCTGGGAAGCGAGCAGCACCCTCCAGACGCCCAGGCGCAGCAGCAGTGGCGCCACCTACTGGGGGACGGTGGTTAAGCGGGTGGCCTGCGGGTGCCTGGCTTCCCGTGGGGAGCAGAGCGGGTGAGGACAGACCCTCGCCTCTGTCACTTTGTGGTGTGTGCGTCAGCATTCTGCAGGCGCACAGGTCGGCTGGGGGAGAGCTTCATGTGCAGTCCCTGGCGCTCTTCCGCAGTCGCTCAAATAGCTGTGCTTAATCTGCTTTTCAGCCACTTCATTTTGTTAATTTTTGAAGAATGACATTGTGATTTCTTTCTCTCCGTTTTAGTATTTGGTGTCTTTGATCCAGGACAACCTAGGCTGGATGTGGGTTTTCTACTTTTTCATTCTCATGGTGAGTGTGCTCTTTGAAGTTCTTCTCTGGTTGTATTTCTTAGTACTTTAATTCAGAGCATTTTCCTCAGTCACTTCTGGAAACCAGCAGAACTGCTGACTGCCGGTAAAGACTCCTTTGCGAACAGTAACATTTCTTAGTCTAGAAGGCAGAGTCTCTTCTTGAGGAGGGGCAGGACTCTCAGCTCACCCTCCTCCGAGTGCGGAGTGTCGCCCTGCATGGTTCCAGAGCAGCAGGACTTCCTGGGGGATCACCGAGCATCAATCACCATACTTTTCTGGCTGCTCAGTCTCTGCTGAATATAATTTGGGACTGAAGGGCGTCTCAGTGTGTGCCAAGCCGCACAGGGCAGACTAGCTAACTGCTGTGTGCAGGCGCTGGGACGACGCTGGTCTCAGAGGAAGTCGTTGCGGCACTCAGCTGTGGTTTTGTACTTTCTGGGAAATGGCCAATACAGAAAAAGGCCTGTGCTTTTAAAATGTTGCTTTCTGCCAGGCTTGGTGGCGCTTACCTGTAATTCCAGCTGGCAGAAAGCTGGTGCAGGAGGGTTGAGAAGTCGAGGCCAGCTTGGGCTACAGACTGACTTCAAAGCTGACCTAGACTGTGTAGCGGAACTGTATCTCAAAAAGCCAGAAAAAAGGTTCTTTCTGTTGAGGAGGTGTGTGCCACGCTCTGCCACAATGCTGTCGGGACGGGTCGGCCCGAGGTCTGGTGATGGCCTTTGGGTGCCTTCTGTGTGCTGTCCTTAGGTCTAGCCGACCTGACTGGTGGCACCCCCTCCGAGCTGCTCCGAGGAGCCCGGGACAGTCCAGTTCCGGCAGGCCTGGCGCCGTCTCCGCCTTGCCCCTGGCCTCCGGAGACCGTGCTACACCCTGCCGTCCCATTCCTGGTGCTGCTGCGGGAGGACAGTGGCCTCTGGCGCTGTGACACTGGGGCCTGTTGTAGCGAGCACAGCTGGCTGCGGCGACACAGCTTGTCGTCCACACACGGATGGTTTTTTGTTCTGCCTGTGGCCATCGTGTACTTTAGTAGGTTTTTTTGACAACTAATGCGATGCTAAGTAGTTTGTGTAATGTTAGGATTTTCAGAAGTCATCTTCTAATCCACTGAGGGGTGAGAGTTGCCTTCTGATTGTTCAAATCCATTGTTGTGTCCCAAACACGAAGCCCTTGGGGGGACGGTCTTGCATGGTTCTCGCCCTTTCTTTTCGCAGACGAGCTGCACGATCCTGTTCATCTCCCCGCTGATCGCGAGGGAGGTCGCCTCTCTGGTGCGGCGGAGACAAGCTCACGCGTTGCGTGAGTGACTGCTCACGGGAGCACAGGACAGTGGGGACACACGAGAACGGTTAGGTCTTGGGCTGCCCCCACGCCAACCTAACCTCGGCTTGGGAGGCCTCACCGCCTCTGGCTTCCCGGGACCCCTGCCAGCAGGAAGGCTGTGCTGTTTTTCTACACTACAGAATTCTTGTGATGACTCCTATTGTTTTCTGAACGTACTGAGTGGGTGCGAAGCTGCCGGCGTCCTCACTTGGCCTGTTGAGGTTTGTCCCTTTAACCTTAATTGTCCCAGCCTTGGACGCCTGTTCGCCATCCCCGAGACTTGAGGGGACCGCAGGCAGCCGTGCTGTCGCCTTTGCTTAGGCAATGTGTTCGTGGAGAGCAGCTCACCTTTGAAGCATTGATCTCGATGCAGACAGGGCTCCAGCTGGTGGAGCGACAAGCCTGCCCATGACAAAGGACGCCCTACCCGCGGGGTGGGGAAGACTGCTACCTGCGTCCCGTCTCCACGGCAACCGCTCCAGAGCAGACAGCGCTCCAAGTTAGTGTCGGCTTGCTCTCCGGCTGCGCTCACAGATGCCTGTGGCTCCTGGCGTGCTCAGCCTCCCTCTGCCAGCTTTGGCGTTGTTGGGACCACTCGGCGTGCAGCCCTCGGCCCCAGGTCTTCGGACTGGGCGCTGCGGGGTCCTCGGGGAGCCAATCCGCACGGGTCCTGTTTTGTCTGGGAGGACGGGTCTCTGTCACAGGCGGGTTCCTGGGGTCACTTCAGCAGAAGGCTGACTGGAGAAAAGGGAGAGACCTGTTCCCAGAGAGGTCTGACGTGTGTGACCGTCACGCCGGTGGGTTCCCAGCGCGAGAGGCTCTTCTTCAAAGGCGTGGAGTGTGTCTGCGAGGCTGTGACTCTGCTGTTAATCAACGTGGTAAAGTCTGTCTGTGTATTTTAAATTATGTGAGCACATAGAAGGAGAACGCGCAATGTTGAGGGACGCGTTGGATTAGGGGACAGTTTCTCCAGTCTCTTACCTTATTCTCCACAATGTGGTTTACTGATGAACTGTTATTTAATCATGCAGGTTTCTGGTCACTTTATCCTTCACTCACTGACATAAAGGGAAGATATGAAACACGGGAAGGGGAACAAACTGACTTTTGTAATAAATAACCCTCTGCTGGGCTTTTTAACCTCTGCCTGAGCTTTGCATCTCATTTTGTTCTCACTGTGGTGCTGGGGATTGGACAGAGGGCCTGGCGTGTGCTACGCTGCCCTGTGCCCGGCTCTGCCTTTGAGATTCTGAGTGGTGCCTTTCCACTTCGTGTAGTGAGTGCCGCTGGGGCGCGGGCGCTGGTGCCGCGGCTTTGCCCGGTCGCACAGCTGTCTTCACCGCCTGTTCTGGTTCCCTGGGCTCCACGAAGAGAGCTCCTCACCCTGGCTGGAAGCTGGTGCGGTGCGGAGTTTGGATGAGTTGCCGGTTGTGCTCTAAGCTGTGTAGGCCAGTGCCGGCGAACCTACAGCACGCGTGCTGCAGCAGGCCGTTTGTATCACTGACAGTCTAAAAGGTTCACCATCACTGCTCTCTCTGGACCCTGCCTTCCTGTTGACCCTCTTGCTTCCACACGGCTCAGTTTCTGGTGCCCCTCATCATTAGCAAGGTTGCGTCTTTGTGCCGCGACACTGGCCCGGCCTTCTCACCCAGTGCAGGCATGGGCGTGAGTGCTCCCTCGAGCGCTCTGTCCTCAGCTGTGCCTGAGGTGCAGCTAGAAATAAAACAAATGTTTAGCGCTGGACGGAACGAATACCGCTCTGTGGCTGTATTTCTGGTTCTCGTTCTGCAGTGTATGCCGGAATTAACTTCCACAAAGCCCAAAAGGTTAACTTCACCTTTTTATTGTTTCCCTTCAAGAAGAAGCTGTACTGAAAGCCCGTTTAAAAATGTGTCCTCTGTCAATTGAAATAATTGGGAAAATGTAAAGCACAGTGGGAGGCTTTTATACATAAAATAAAGGATTATTGGATGTGAAAAATTGCCTTTCAAGTTTCTTATGTTCTGAAAGTAAAAACAGTAATTAAAAGTTCTTTAAATAATAATTAAATAGTAAAGAAAAGAAGTGTTTTTGTGTGAGTGTGTGTGGTGCAGGGCCTCCACATGCCAGACGCCTGATCACTGAGCGGGAGACTCCCAGCCCCAGAGGGCTGCTGCTTTGTTCGTTGCTTTTTTGAGATACTTACTATGTGGTTCAGGCTGGCATTGAGCTTACTGTAGCCCAGGCTGGCCTTGAACTTGTGGCAGTCCTCCTGCCTCAGCTTCCTGAGTGCTGGTGGTGTGGGCCACCAAGCCCGGCCTGTGGCATTTCATTATTATTACTATTTTTGGTTTTTTGAGGCAGAGTCTTGCTATATAATTCAGGCTGTTGAACTCATCGTAGCCCAGGCTAGCCTCTAACTCTCAGCACTCTTCCTTCCTCAGCCTCCCGAGTGCTGGGATTATAGGCATGCGCCACCACGCCAGGCTTCTGGTAAGCTCTACTGCAGGGTGCCAGTCACGGCTCAATCCTCAGTGACTATGGAGCACCAGGGGTAGGGTGGTATCTGGGGTGACAGCTGCCTGTTGTGCAGGTGCCAGTAGGTATCGTGGGGGGACATGGGCTTGACCCTTTCACCTCAGCCCCGCCCCCCATGGCCACCCTACCAATTGCTTACGTGAGTGGGTCTGGAGTCCCGAGGTCACAAGTCCTCTGAGCATCTGAATATCGCCGCCTTCTCCCCAGATCAGGACGCCCGTGACTGTCTCTGCAGTGCCATGCTTGCTCTCTGTGCTCTGAATCTTCGCTTTCTTTCCTGTTTTGACTCTTTGCTTCCCAGGCCTGACCGGTGCCATCTGGTCTGCGAGCCCTGCCCCGGCCTCCATCATCTCTGCTTGCTTTGCTGTCCCATCAGGGTCCTGTCCTGGGCCTGCTTGGGTGTTGGCGTGGTCTCCAGTGGTTGGTGCCAGTTGGGGGCGGGGGAGAAAGACGCTCGAGGTGGGCGGGACGGACTGAGGGGACCCTCCGTCCTCCTGCCCCAGCCGCTCCATCATCAGACCCCGTGGCTTCGTGGTGCGGCCTCATCCTGGGGTGTCCGCAGCCGGGAGTCCAGGTGCCAGTGCAGCGCCTGGTGCTCGCTGCTGTGTGTCCCCTGCACTTTCTCCTGGGCCGTTGTCTTCCTTCCGGCCACCCCCTGCCCCGTTCCTGTCTTTGCCATCCTGCTGGCGATGCCACTTTCCCTGCCCTGCAGACCCCTTAGCTTAGACCACCCTGTGGCCCACGCCCTGAGCAGTTTTACTGCCCGCTTGTGTTTTCCAGTTGCTTCTGGCTAGGTCACTTCCTCAATTAAACAGCAAGTGGCACCAGAGCTGGTGGTGGTGTGGCCTCGTGTCCAAGGGCAGTGGCCGCTGGATCAGGACAGGCAGCGTGGCCTTCCCCTGCCGCCTCCTTTGTGCGCTCACGTTCCCTCTCCGCCTCCTCTCTCCCTTCGTTCCTGCGCAGGGCAGGTGGGTCAGCATGGACCTAGAAGCCGCTCACCCAGATGGCTTCAGTGGTTGGCGGTGCGCGTGTGGGTGTTACCCAGTACAAGAAACTGCTGCTACTGTAGTGCGTTGTAGAAGCGGAGGCATAAAACACAGTTACACATAGACTTAGAAATGATCAAATAGCATATTTGAAGAGGAATTCTCTGCCTGGATACCTGGTGGTCTTTGCATCGTTGAAAGAGTGCCATGCCAGGTGTGGTGCACACCTCTGATCCCAGTAATGAGACTGAGGCAGAGGATTGCAAGTTTGAGCCCAGCCTGGGTGACTTGGCAAGACCCTGTCTCAAAGTGAAAAATAGAAACAGGTCTGGGCCGGGGATGTAGCTCAGCAGCATAAGTGCCTGAGTTGGCAAGCGCAAGGTCCTGAGTTCGATTCCTGGTACCAAAGAAACCCCAACAAAACAGGACTGGGGATAGAGTTCAGTTTGAAGGCCCTGGGTTCAGCTTCAAGTTCCGCAGAGAGAGGGTGAGTGTGGTGTGCGTGCGTGTGTGTATACGCCTTTACACATCTCCCATTCTGTCTGGCCCCACCAGGCTCAAGGTAGAAGGGGACCCCGTGACTCGGCAGGGGAGTGTTTCGTGGGGTCGCACGAGCCAGCCCATGCCAAAAGCAGAATTCAGTGGACTCCAGGCCCTTCTACCCAGCGTGTCCCATGATGCTGTGCAGCCCCCCTTCCTGGCTCCAGGCCTCGGCTGTCATCCAGGGTGCACCAGTCCTGGGGGCCCCAGGGGTGGGCAGAGCTGCCAGGGAGGTGGAAAGGTACCAGCACCTGATGTTGGGCTCAGGCCCCCAGAGCTACAGGGTCTGAGCCTCGCTCTTCAGTGGCTTTCTGCTCTGCAGCTGCCTCTTGTTTTTTATTTATTTTGAGGCAGTCTCACTAAGTAGTCAGGCTGGCCATGAACTCACTGTGGCTGGCCTTAAACTCAAGGTGATCCTCCTGCCTCAGCTTCCTAAATGCTGGGATTACAGGTGTGCGCCAGCACACCCGTCTTAAGTTTGCCTCTGTAAAAAGCGCCTCTTTCATGCCGTTTCCTGACCCTGCTGTTTGGGTCGAGGGGAATTCTGCCAGCCTGCCCTTCGGCTGCTCCCTTCCCACATGTAGACAGTTGGTCACGGTGTGGTTGTCCGCCGTGCTCGGCCTCCTCAGCTGCGGCGCCTCCCGGGGCTCCTGCTCAGCGCCCCTCTTTCTGCTAACCAGTTTCCTGAGCTTGGAACGGGCGTCTCCCTTCCAGAGTACTGCAATTACCTTTTTACTCTTTGCATTGCCCCCTGGGTAAAGAAAGAATTTGTTCCCTTTGGCTCTTTCAGAAATTAGACAAAAAGTAGCAAAATCATTTGAAACTCTTTTCAGTTCCCCTTATCCCTGTGTCCCAAAGAAATTGCCATCTCAGAACATCAGCATGGGGCTGGGGATATAGCTCAGTGGAACAAGCGCCTGCCTGGCAAGTGCAAGGCCCTGAGTTCGATTCCTGGTACCAGAAAAAAAAAGAAAAAAAAACCATGGGCATCAGAAGAGCGAGGGTACAGGGGCCATCCTGCTAGCTGGGACACGGACCGGGGCCTGGGCCGGGGGATTTAATGGGATAAATGTATGTAGGTAAAACGTTTCATGCAGAACTTCAAAGGCCTCTCCCTGTGTGGTAGTTCTTATCACTGAGCCCTGGAGAGTGACATCAGGGTGCCACAGCCTTTGATGTGTGCGTGTGTCGTGTGTGCGTTTATTTACGTAGCATTCTGTTTTGCTCGGTGCTCGCGGTGGAAAGTTCTAACAGCCTGGTGGTTGGTTTCCGTCAGAAAGCAGTGCCTGACTGTAGGGCAGTGAGTAAAGATGGGAACAGTGCCTCAGAAACAGCGACCTGCCTGGGCGTGGTGGTCATGGCTGCAGTCCCAGCACTTGGGAGGCTGAGGCAGAAGGATCTTGGTGAGTTCGAGGCCAGCTTGGGCTGCATAGTGAGACCCTATCTCAAAGAAACTAAAACAGAAACGAAAGAGTGACCCTGTGGAGCGGGTGGGCAGGGTGGGTGAGGCCTGGGGACCCTTCCCTGGGGACCCCAGTGTGATAGTGTCTTCCCACCCGGTGCTGCCAGCTTAGTACCTGGAAGAGGTGGCTCTGTAGGCAAGTTCTTGGCCCCAGTCCCATTCAGTCCCCAGATCTGTTATGTAGCAGAATTTTTGCAAAAAGTCCGTGCCAAGACAGAAGGACAGAGCCCTAATGAAGTGCCGCAGGGCTGGAGCCCAGTCTGCAATCCATTAGTGGTGCTGGGAGAGCTCTGGATGAGGGGTCATGTGGAACAGGCTGCGGGATGACGGGCGCTGTCCCCTCCACGCCGTGCGGCTCGGGCTGGCTGGGCCTCTGCCACCTCCCCGAGCCAGGCGGGTGCAGTGGTCCCGGCGGTCCTGCTGGAGCAAGGCTTTTCTATCAGTGCCCGTGTTTTCCTGCCTCTTCCCCCAAAAAGAAACTGCCCTGTCCGCCGCCCTCCCCGTGGCAGGCCGCTCCGCCTCTGGCCTCGGAGGGGAGTCAGAGTCCCGTGGAAGCCACGCACACTTCTGGCCCCGTGTGCTGGGCTTTCATTTCCTGATTACTTGAGCGCCATTGTTTGGAAGCCGCCTGCTCCTCCTGGGGCTCCTCTGCCCTCAGTCCAGTTCTCTCCAGGCCTCCTTGTCCTGGGACGGGCCTCCAGGCGGACCCTCCAGGCCAGTGGGCATTGCGTCCCGGGTGCCCCTTCTGGGCCTCACCTAAGTCCCAGAGGATCCCGCTGTCCCTGGCTGTTCTCCCAGAGTGCTGGGATGACAGGTGTACACAGTTTCAGTGAATTGGGACAGTCTCACTGGGCTTCCCAGGCTGGCCCTGAGCTTGCCATGTAGTCAAGGCTGGCTTTGAACCTGTGATCCTCCTGAGTGCTGGGGTTCCAGATGTGCACTACCATAGCTGGCCCTGGATTCCAGCTTTGCATAGGAATTAGAGCTGAAAGGGAGCCTCCGTCTGCTTTCTGCCCCTGTGTGAGTTCCTGTGCCATCTCCACAGCAGGTCCGTGCTTGGGAATCGTGCTCCTCCAACAGAGCACCCAGGCCACCACCAGGGAACACGGCACGGGAAAGTTCTGATCCTGCTGCCTGAAAAGCTCCACATTGTTTCTTCCTTTACTCCTAATCCTTCTAAAGCAACACAGCGGCACAGCGCCTGCCTGGCAAACGCAAGGTCGTGAGTTCAATTCTTGGTACCAGAAAAAATAAAAATAAAAAAAATCAACACAGATTTGTATTTTCTCTTGATATATTTGAAAGCCGGGTGTGGTGGCACACACCTGTAATTGCAGCACTTAGGAGGTAGAAGCAGGAGAATTGCTGCAAGTCTGAGGCCTGCCTGAACTGTACAGTGAGACCCTGCCTCAAAAAAAAAAAAAGAAAAAAAAAAGATATTTGAAGCCAACTTCCATTTCTTTTTCAAAGACTTC